GGGATACTGAACAGAGGTAGAAGAGATCTTACTTGAGGCAGCTTTGGTAAACTCGTCCGTAATGTCGCGTGGGACGACGGACTGCGAAATGACTCGCATCATCGGGGTTCGGCCCTCGTTACTTGGCAACATATGAAGTATCGATAATCTGCAGCCAGCTGCCAGATTTGCCCGTTCGAACCCTGGGCAGAAAGCACTCTATAAAAGGATGATGGGAGAAAGAATCAGGAGTGTTGACGAAAGAGAGGCGGGGAGTCGGGCGGACAGGGCAAAATTGCGGAAGCGTTGCCCGCGGTGTAAAGCTCGAAGACCGCAAGGTTACGGTGACTACGCTCAGAGTACGAACGGCATTACGGTGCACGAGATCTACTTTAACCAGCCCCCGTTTGCAGGAAAGAAATGGTGTTTTCTTTCTATTTATACCAGATCAACGGACGAATATGCTACAGAGCTCCAAATCATTCCTGCACCCACACATCATCAACTGTACCCCCCTTCTCGTAGAAGATATCCCATATTATCGCATGCGGGTGTTTTCGAAAACCGTCTATTTCTCGGCGTTGGCAACGGCGGCCTCCTGGTTGGCCTCACCGAGGGAGCGAACCTCGCCCTGCTTGCCGTTCTATATTGGTGAAAAAAAGACATTGTTAGCCCAAGTTCACGAGCCATTGATTCCAACAGAACAAGCGGGGGCACCAAAACGAACCTCCCACTTAGCAAAACGCAGGTCCATTTGGCCACGGCGTTCAGCAGCCAGACGAGGGGTCTCCTTGAGGGATCTGCGGACCGCGCGAGCAGCAACGGCCAGGTAGCGGTTGTAGCTGTAAAAGTCGAACGTCCAGTTAGTTCGGCTTGTTCTAAGTAAGGCGTAGAATGATAAAGGATCATGCGTACGTCAGACCAGCGGCTTTCCAGTATGCCATCTTGACGGTATGTGGAGGATGAGGTATTCAATTGGGGGTGGGAGAATCAATCAACCGATACGGGATGCTTTGCAAAGCGTCGAGTTTCGGAGCATCGGAATCTCGGGTCATGTGATTCACGTGACCGTCCGGTCCCATGACCAATCAAGGAAGCCGTTTCACCTGACCTTCTACATCGAAGTGATAGTATTTAGTAAGTTTTAGCCATGGCCTACAATATACTCGATTACCAGGCATGGACCCCCGGGACTAAGAGAATATATCTCTGATTCATGTGCGCCACTCTCTTCGTCAGACTTCCTGGCCATGTCAAGTTTGCATTAGTACTATACCTTTTCTTGTACGTCGTCCTGAGCTTTGGACATAGATATATATATTTTTGAGATAACTGCGCAAGGTAGAGATTATATGCTTCAACTAGAAATCAAAGTCGTGCAGCAACTTATAATATAGGCATTACTTTCAAGTATAAAATCCTTACCAGTTCATATCTCTGAGCAGCAAACGATCTATCTTGTTGCTAGTCCCTAATGTAGAGTGACTGCGGCTGCGCAGCTAAGTACCAGTCAACAAGCATATAAACAAATGATGTCCGCATCCATTATACTGCCGTGGATTGTAAGTTTCTCTTACTGTCTATGTATCCCGGTTGATATATCTATAGCTAGATACTTAGCAATGCGCTTCTGTCATATACCTACTCTCACTTCATCTCACCCTTCTTCACAACTTTGCTCCACTCAGTTCTTTTCTACTTCAGCTCGGCACAACGCACCGTCTTACTCTGCATATCATTATTTCTGGTGACTGTACGTGAAGAAGAGTTACGACAAGGGTATTCACAGGTGCTAGCTATTCACTTTTTGGTGTACCTTGCAGTCTCTTCTGCTATCAGGGCACTATGAGTTCTTCCAAGAAAGCCTTGAACAGACCGAAAAAGCGCACCCTAGTCCGCTGGGATGGTACTTATTTCCTTGACTGGATGACAGTGATACTGTTTGTTGATTAAGCTGATGCCGAGTTGCTAGATAACCTAAACGAGCTTCTTCTCCTGACCGTGCAGTCAGTCTGCAACAACCAGTCTATCAAAATCCCTTGGTCCGAGGTTGCTAGTACAATGAGGAATAATGTCACCGAAGGGGCTATCGTCCAGCATCTGGCAAAGGTTCGGACCCGTCGTGTCGATGCTGGCAAAGAAGTCCCTCCTCCCCTACGGCGTGGTGGTGTAGGGTCATCGAGCAAGTCCTCTGAGAATGCGCCTACCAGAAATGCGTCTGGAGCCAAACGCAACCTCAGAGCTACTCATAGTTCACGAAGCGAGGAAGATGAACGTCGAGATATGAATCTACCTGACGATACTTCATCCGATGAAGACTATATCGAGAGAGGTCGCCGCAGAAGTCGACTTAAGAAGCAATCACATAAATCGCAGCCACGTGGAGCTATTCCGATCAAAATTGAAGATGAGGAGATTGACGGCAGTGACGATGGATTCGGAGAGCTGTTGGTCCCTGGGGCTGAGTTTCTCCAATATCCCAACGAGAAAGAACCACCCTCAGAGCCAACTTCCTCCCCCCGTGCTCCAGAGAATACTAGAAGCAAACTGGTCACTTTGAGGTATAGACAGGCAGTGGGTAATGTGTTTAGTGGCTTTCCTTCGACACATGCACAATCAGTGGCCACAGTGCTTAGCGCATATGGCAATACGCCTTACCAAGCTCATTATCAACAGCTACCAGAACCTAATCTCGACCTGGAGAACCATTATCTGCTTGGATGTAATCATATCACGGGAATGTCTGCAGTTGTTCCTGAAGACGCTGTTAGTAACCTGACCTCATTCGGGGAAAGCCAAGACTTCCACAATACATCATATGCTGGCTACCAGTATCCAGCTTATTATCCCTCCGCTGATGACTCGATTGGTGGTGTCCTTTACAGTGAGAACTACCAGTACCTTCATGGTAACTATATTGAACCAAATGAGGATATGATCATGGAAACCCAGGACAATCTGGTGACGAAGATTGAATAAGCTTCAAACAATATGACTTCACCGACTGGCTGTCGGTCGATTTCCGCTGGTTCGGTTCGACTTTAGCGCAGTACTATTGACTGAAGCTAAGTCTGAGGCTATCTTGGATCGAGAGGTTAGATTTTAGTTTGCTTTATCTAGTGTTAACGAGGTGGTGTTCTGCTTTGGTCAGTCAGAGCAATACATTTGGACTTGGGGTCTCTTACTTTCCAAGCTGGCGCTTTGGTTTACATTCATTGGCCCTCGGTCAGTGACTATCTCTTGTTATTCTTGGGTTTACTCCAATTTTGCATTTTGCATTGGACATTTTGCATGCGGTTCAAATTTGTTTCTTTTTCTTTAGATTTGTGTTATTCTGCCTGTTTTTTTCATCTCTTCTTTATTTTTTAGTTAGTGTGCAATATCAACGCCGATAAACGGCAATTAGTAATGTATACGAATTTCCGCTTCCGACGAGCCGAAGACATTCCCTCGGGAACGAGCCACGTGACCCATTCTAGGAGCTTCTTTTGCCAAGACATCCGGGGATCGAGAATCGCCTGGAAAATTTTCGAGACTTTGGCTTCATCTCCATCCTCCTTCTCCATCTCTTCTTCTCCCATCTCCCCATCTTCATCTCCTTCTTCCCTTCTTTCTTCCTCTGCACCCGTCCTTGCTCTGGGAGTTCTGTTCGGGCAGACTTACTTCAATCATCAATTGACTCTCTGTTTCTGTATTTTCTTATTTACCTCCCTTATCCAAGATGCAAAGAGCTCTTTCCTCCAGGACATCTGTCCTTTCCGCCGCTTCTAAGTGCGCTCCCTTCTACAGATCCTCTGGCTTCAACCTCCAGCAGCAACGGTTTGCCCACAAGGTGCGTACTACCCGAGACTGAATCGTCAACGCCTCCCGACAGCTCCCGGACTGTTTCCCTCTGAATTTCTAGGTTGCTAATGCGGTGTAGGAGCTCAAATTCGGCGTCGAAGCCCGTGCCCAGCTCCTTAAGGGTGTTGACACTCTTGCTAAGGCTGTCACTTCCACTCTTGGTCCCAAGGGCCGCAATGTCTTGATTGACACTCCTTACGGCTCTCCCAAGATCACCAAGGGTATGTCGCTACACCCCGACCATTTCTAAATCAGACCGAAGGATGATACTGACTGCATGAAGACGGTGTGACCGTTGCCAAGGCCGTTCAGCTTCAGGACAAGTTCGAGAACCTTGGTGCTCGTCTCCTTCAGGATGTTGCCTCCAAGACCAACGAACTCGCCGGTGACGGTACCACTACCGCTACCTGCCTTGCCCGTGCCATCTTCTCCGAAACCGTCAAGAACGTTGCCGCTGGCTGCAACCCCATGGATCTGCGCCGCGGTATCCAGGCTGCTGTCGAGGCTGCTGTCGACTACCTGCAGCAGAACAAGCGTGACATCACCACCGGTGAGGAGATTGCCCAGGTCGCTACCATCTCCGCTAACGGCGACACCCACGTTGGTAAGCTCATCTCCACTGCTATGGAGAGAGTCGGCAAGGAGGGTGTTATCACCGTTAAGGAGGGCAAGACCCTTGAGGATGAGCTTGAGGTCACTGAGGGCATGCGTTTCGACCGTGGTTACACCTCCCCCTACTTCATCACCGACACCAAGTCCCAGAAGGTTGAGTTCGAGAAGCCCTTGATCCTTCTTTCCGAGAAGAAGATCTCCGCTGTTCAGGATATCATTCCCGCCCTTGAGGCCTCCACTACCCTCCGCCGTCCTCTCGTCATCATCGCTGAGGACATTGAGGGTGAGGCTCTCGCCGTCTGCATCCTGAACAAACTCCGTGGTCAGCTCCAGGTTGCTGCCGTCAAGGCTCCTGGCTTCGGTGACAACCGCAAGAGCATCCTTGGTGACCTTGGTGTCCTCACCAACGGTACCGTCTTCACCGATGAGCTCGACATCAAGCTCGAGAAGCTTACCCCTGACATGCTCGGTTCCACTGGCTCTATCACCATCACCAAGGAGGACACTATCATCCTGAACGGTGAGGGTACCAAGGACTCCATTGCTCAGCGCTGCGAACAGATCCGCGGTGTCATGGCTGACCCCACTACTTCCGAGTATGAGAAGGAGAAGCTCCAGGAGCGTCTGGCCAAGCTCTCCGGTGGTGTTGCTGTCATCAAGGTCGGTGGTTCCTCTGAGGTCGAGGTCGGTGAGAAGAAGGATCGTGTCGTTGACGCCCTCAACGCTACTCGTGCTGCTGTTGAGGAGGGCATCCTCCCTGGTGGTGGTACCGCTCTCCTCAAGGCCGCTGCCAACGGCCTTGACAACGTCAAGCCTGCCAACTTCGACCAGCAGCTCGGTGTCAGCATCATCAAGAATGCCATCACCCGCCCTGCCCGCACCATCGTTGAGAACGCTGGTCTTGAAGGCAGCGTCATTGTTGGCAAGCTTACTGAGGAGCACGCCAAGGACTTCAACCGCGGCTTTGACAGCTCCAAGGGTGAGTACGTTGACATGATCGCCAAGGGTATTGTCGACCCCCTTAAGGTCGTCCGTACTGCCCTGGTTGATGCTAGCGGTGTCGCCTCTCTCCTTGGTACCACTGAGGTCGCTATTGTTGAGGCCCCTGAGGAGAAGGCCCCTGCCGCCCCTGGTGGCATGGGTGGCATGGGTGGTATGGGTGGCATGGGCGGTGGCATGTTCTAAACTGCGTCGCGCCTGCTATAGCCTAACCTCTCCTTGTTTCTAACCGTTCCTCTTCCAGCGTGTCTTTGCATATTATTGCATATTCTGATATCTCTGTGTTTTTAATATCTCTTTTGTCCTAATGTGTTGCACGTCCTCACTACCCAATTCCTTACCTTCGATTCTCATTACCCTCCTACCTCTCTATTGCATTACCCCCATATATCATCTCCACTCCACTATGTCGGGATAAAAGCCTCAGGGAGTCCTGTGTACCATATCATGTACTTTACGTACCCCACAGCTTTCGTAGTTTGTGGTTCTGTTCTCAATTTAACATAATTGTTCATGAACACGTTTTCTCTCTTACGTAGCTCACACATTCATAGAATTGTAGTCCCACTCCATGTCAGTTACGATATGCCTTCCAACCTGTGTTAAAGTCATATGTGATACGACCTGAACTAGGTCAACTCATTGTCTAGATGCCTACTCCCAATCAACAACTTCAATTCTCCCCAATCTCTACCCAAACTCCGTTAATACAAGAATACCAGCAGTAAAACCACCTTCACAATATCTAACCGCCTGCAACGTATAACTAAACTAACACTAACAAACAATCAGGCGAAAAAAAAAAAAGTCTCAAAAACAAAAAATTTACGCCCCATTAACATTCTGCTGCCATCGACCCCCCTTCTCAGAAACAACAAACCCCATCATCCCCTCCACATCAGAAATGTGAACCGCTGGCAACGGCGAAATCACCCGATCCTCATGTCGTTTCCAAATATCATCCTCAAACTGCTTGTTATACCGTCTGTTCCCCAGGTACCTGTCAAGACGCCCCGTACTTTCTGATTGCCCTGGAGTCGGTTTTGCTGGGGACGCCGCAGTCCCTAATTTGAATACGCCTTTGACGGGGAGCAAGAGGAAATCTGTGATTATGCCGACGCCGATGATGTGGGCTTTTACGACGCTATCGCGGAGACGCTCGCTGAAGGCCATGGAGAGGGCAATGAGAATTATGGCGGCAGATGTTGGGCCTTGGGTTGTGTTTTGATTAGTGGTGTTGGATAGTGGCTTCAAGAGGGGTTATACTAGATGACGGACCTGATATTGCTAGCATGTAAGCCCAGTCAGGGTTTGTTTCTTCGCCGCTCCATTCGCGGACGTTCACACCGAATAGGGAGGTGAAGAATGAGAGAGGGAGGAAGCTGTATTTTTCTTTTAGCAAAAGGATGTAGATGGCGATTGATAGTGTAGGGTAGGGTAGGGTGGTGACTGACATGACCGTGAAGATTGTGAATACCATTACGGACTGCGATTGGTTTTGGGCTACTTCTGCCTGCCAGCGGGTTATACGGGACTCGTCGACGTTTGCTTGCTTTTGCTTGAGGTCGAGGAGGTTTTCGACCTAGAATACCTAGTGTTAGATAAGTTGGATCGTTGAGGTCAGGGAATCGTACAGCTTTCTGTGCTAGTTGTGCGTTCTCGCGCATGTCTGTGACCTGGGTGCGGTAGTCTTCGAGTCGGGAAAGGGCGGATTCTATGAAGACCTTGCCGTATCCTTTGTCTTCGAAGTATTGCGCCATTAATTTGACGGTGGCAGTTTGCTGCTCGAGGAGTTTTAATATTGTCCCTAGTTCGTCTATTATATCCCTCAGTTCTAATAGTGTAGAGAGATCTTCGCGGTTTTGATGGGCTACTCGACGGTCTCTTTCGTCACGCTCTGATGCGGTCATTGTCTTGCCTTCTAGTGTCCTGTTATAATCGGCTGGTCTGGCGATGAATCCTCGGGTACGGAAGCGTTTGAATGACTTGGTGGTTGACTCAGTCTACTGACATTAGCCGTTGTATCGAAGTCACCGATGGAACGTAGCGTACCAGGATACTAATGGATTCCTCGAAGATCCGCAGGATCTGTAGATCATGGTCCAGTGTCCTGTCCAGAAGAATGGTGACTGCATGTAAGACAATCAATGCAGCGAGATCTCCGGCTGTCTCAAAGCGCCTTGCAAGGTCCCCATTCAACTCATTGTAAATGCTGCTATGCAGGTTCGCTTGTTCGTATAGTTTGTCTTCAGCAGTCGTCGCCTCCTGTTTAGGGAAAAAGGTAACGACGGTTTTCTCATCTACGATCCAGAGCCAGAGCTGATCAACCATGAGAACTTTTCCATCGATGAACGTCTTGGAAGAGTCAGGATTGTCTTGTAGAGGGATTGAACTACCAAGCTCGTTACTGAGATCGACGACTTTTCTAGTCCGTTTCCATAGCATCTGATCGTCGTCTCTTGCTACCGTAGATCGCAGATTTGGATAACCATACTGGTCTAATGTTCTTCGTATATGAATAGGGGGCTCGGCACCCAGGAATTTCCATAGCAATCTCGTTTCTACATGAGATTCCGAGATGTACTCAGGGACTGGCTTGGACCTTCCCTGTTGTAGCCGCTTTTCGATGACCTTTCGTCGTTGAAGGAGATTCCAGTATGTGTCCCAATGAAGCTGTGATATCATACCTTAGCCAATGGAATTATACGCCCAGTAAACCGACTTACATAAGGAAGCTATCATACCGTCAGTACACTGTCCTACCAAAAAGTAAATGGTTGGACTTACGTATAAGGCTAATTGAGAATCACGGGCCTCCCCTGGTGGGTTGATTGGCAAAGAATCACTCAGCCTGGAATGAATACATGTGGGACGGACAAATCGCGCATGAGGCTCTAGATGGCGGGCTCTAATAATTTGCGAGTACCAATTTTCATCATTGACGAACTTTTTGAAGCTGATGCATTGACGATTGAAGCACATTAGCGAGAGGAGGTAACGCAAGTAAAGGGACTGGCCTTACAACTCTGGCCGCTGATGATCGTTGCAAGCCTTAGACAGAACTGGAGGCACCCATCCTGTATGGGTGTATGGAACATGGATCCATAAGAGCTTCTCGCTACCTGGCTCTGGTCGGTCAAATCGGGGAGCTCTCCGAGGTAGCTCTGCTCGAACCTCCTGGAGTCGCTCCCTTGTGGGTGGTGGTAAAGGAAGGAAAGTTCTGTATTTCGATGATAAACTAGTTCTTTTGTGGGTTTAGTCAGTCGAATCTGTGATCCAACTTTCACGGCAATGCGATACTCACAATACATTGGGTTGTCCCTGGTTACTAGGACTAGAGCTCCCAACAATGATCTCTTTTCTTTCATGAGTTATGCTATCTCTATGCCCTTGATCTTCACTGGAAGCAATATCACTTTGAATGTCCGACGTTGCTTCTTCTTCTTCTTCTTCTTCTTGTGTTACATCAAAATAACCGTCGGCAGCCGCCTCCGTAACGTGGATTCTGGGGGAAGCTGGGGACACGAAACTGCGGCTTCTTTTTAAGGACGGCCTTGATGAGGTGGTTTCAGGCTGGATCGCGCTAGCCTCCGTTACTGCCCCATCTCGTATAGCAAACGATGTATCTGCCATTGCGGCAGATGATGGTCTGCTATCAAAGTCACTTATCGAGGAGTCATCGATTGAGCCGGACGATATTCTACCAGTTTGTTTCAGTCGATCTGTGAGACAAATTGCAGGCCCGTCTTTCAGATACTCCCGTAGTGGCGTTTTCGTTGACCAGAGCTTGAGAGGCGTCTCATCGCTGACCCCCCGCGCCGTGTCTTCGAAGAAGCCGTTGACTTGCACCATAACCTCTCGACTAACGCGCAACGGAGCATCTGGTAGCTTGGAAAGCTGCACGGCCATGGCGATGATCGGCTGAAGCTCTTTAATGAAGCTTATTCTCGTTGTGAGTTCTTGTCCTTTGAAGGATGCTACACCAACGTGGTCCGTGGCTAATGGGATCACCTTTTCGTGCTCCAGGTCTAGAACCCCCGACCGAATAGAAGTGATTGGAACATGCATTTCCACAGTACTTACGGTACCCGAATCTGCGACGGTGAGTGTAGAGTCAACAGTCTCTAAGAATGTCCATATCTTGATATCTGCAGATAAGGATCTGAACTGGTTGGTTAGTTGCAACAGCCTTGGATGTCTGGGCTTCAGCACCTCTCGTATGCAGCGTGGGACATGATGCTTGAGTTGCATCAAACGGCGGATACTCTTAGCATACTCTGGAGCTGAAAGATAGCTTGAGCCTTGGTGAGGAGTTGCCATGAAAGCAATCCCATAGCAGCTTGTTAGTATCGACGCGAGGTTCGACGTTGAATGTGCGGCAATGGCAAGCGCCGCTTTGGCGACAAGACCACCTGTTCCATGGCAAATGAAGAGTATGGGCCTCCTTCCGCTCTGTAGAGTGTTACTAATCTCATTCATTTGTGCAGCAATAGATAAGCGGTGCATACAGTGTGTTGCCTTTCTGCATGTATCTGCTTCAAGAGATGATGGGCCAGAGAGTCCAGATCATCTTGACGGTTTAGAGGCCCATGATCCAACAGTAGCACCCGCACATTAGGGATATATCGTGTCAGTTCTGAAATGAGCCATGGCTTCTGAAAATCATCACCGATCCACGCTCTCTGCGGATCTGCTCCAATCGCAGGAACCGCCACAACACTATGATAGTTCAGACAAAAGTACCAAATAGGGTGGGTAGTTATAGCTACGAGACTTACTCTACTTCAGTCTCGAGTTGAATAGACCGCTCACTGTTCGTGTCACTACTGATCGCCATAGTTGTTGTATTCTCTGGGAGGAAATATAGTGAATCATATTTCCGGCTTTAGAGATGGAGCAGATATGATTACGGGTAGATCACAGCCATCATCTGATCCCACCTCTGTTTTTCGATTCAAATCCATGGCAGCTGACGATTCCTGGGGCCTTGTAGAAGCCTTGGCAGTTCAGCCTCAGCAGGAAACGTACTAAAGGTGACTAGAGCAATCGAGACGCCAATCATGAGGCCGAAGTGTTGGAAAGAACGATTGCTCGGATCCACAGGGGCTAAATGCCACCTTGTGACATGCCCAGCACATGACAGTCTAACAAACCCTCATATCAAAACACTCATTATCTAATAAGACTTTCACTAACTATACATTGATGGTTCACCTTATCATATCAATAGTTAAGTGGGTTTTATCCTAACGTTTGCACAGCTGACCCCTGAGTGCCATGAAACCGAAAAGATCACAATAGTAACGGAGATTTCGATGGTCGTTTAATCACTATAATACACTAAAGAGGGGGGGTTGTTAGCTCTATTGCCAGATGTAAGTATGTACACGATAACCAGAATGCAACGCTTTTGGAGTGTAGTAGCCAGAATCACCATCCCCGACCCCAATAAAATACAAATAAATGCTCTATAACTTAACTCATGCGGTATCGTCAGAAAAAAACAATAACAAAGAGCAGGAATTCTGCTACAGAATTAAACAATAACAAATGTTGCCGAGGGTATTCTAGGCCCTACATGTGTACATGCAGGGCATGCTGGAAAACTCGAATAAAAACGCAAGGTATCGCGAGCGGTTACAGTGTGTTTCGATCCCAGCAGCAAGTCAGACTGGCTGAAGAATTTCTCATACAGAGTCCGAGTGTTCCTCCGCCGGATGACGTCTTTCGTTGACGCCCTTTGCCATCTTCTTACCAACTTCATATGTGGAAATCATGATGGCGCAAGCAGGTGCTACTTTCAAGCACCGTGCTACCCAGCCTCGAAAGAGTCCGGCCGTACCCTCCTCGTGGAAGATATGCATGAGGAACCTAGGCAAGGAAAGCTGTTCAGGAAGAAGAGACCCCCGCGGTACGCTGCTCTTCTCTTCCCCAATGTGCCGAAAAACTTGTTGGCGTGTTTTTCCCACATCAAAAGGAGTTGTGACAAATGCTGCTACCGAGCCTGACGCAGCACCCGCAATGAAGCTTTCAAGGAACGTTGGCGTATGCATGTCGTCCTCAAGTTGGTGTCCCACAGACGATGACCCAGTCGGCAACAGGCGGTCGTGGGCTTTGTGACGTGCCTCGATGAGGTGCCTTTTTACTTCCTCATATCCCCACCAGTACAGACCGGAGAAAGGTACATCGCGCCACATGGTGAGCGTTAATCCTCGCCAGAGCGAACTATAGCCCTGAGTTTTAGTCATATGGTGTAATCCCTCGAGAGTGGCCTTGAAATGCCCTGCGCCGGTGCCCGGGGTAGCCTGTAAACGCGTTCGGAACATCTCGATCGGGCTAATGGCCGATGCTGCAGCAACTCTTGCAACAGAACCTGATAGAAATGCAACATAGGCATCTGGCAAAAGTTTCTTTATTGGGCTTCTCTCATCGGTTCGCAGCCAATCGTATCCCGCAAAGTAGATGATGTTTGCCGGTATACTCATCATCATAGTCGGACTAAGCCCACGCCAAAGAGTCCACACGCCTTCATTTCGAGCAATTTTCCGTAGGCCATCGAGTGTGGACGTGAACGTTTTTCGCTGGACTTCCTCCACGGCACAATCCGCGATAGCAGGCGAATGAGCTCCAATAGCTCCTGCGCCGGGCCCAACCATACACACTTGAGAATTCTGGCCAATCCAGAAGACTTCACGGCAACAGGCAGTCACTCCTAAATTCGGGGGCATGTTCTTCAACGTTTGCGCCGTATGGTGGGTAAAAGGGGACGTATTCTTAATCGCAGATTGGGATTGTAGGCGGACTCGAACGACATCAAGAGGGGTCACTATTCAGTAGCGTGAGTATATATAGATACATGGCACTCTTCTCCCAACGTATTTGAGAGCGAGCTCGAGCTCCGATTCAGTAACTGACATACCTAGTAAGTTTGTTAAAACGCTGCCACAGGTGGCGGAAACCATCTTCTGGATGATTGAAACATGCTCATTATTCCCACTGGCGTCCGGAGCAGGAGTGTTTCCTGTTCCAGAAGTAGCCGCCATTGCCCTGCCTTCAATCCAAGGCCATGACTCTGCCGTGTTCCCCTCCAATCCAGAAGTATTCAAGAGGTCAGAGCGATATCGGTCCCCGCGAGTGATGTCAGACCTATAGTCAGACATTCATTCAACTAGGCAGATACAGAAAGGAGTGTCGCTATAGTCACTTCTGTGTCCTTTCGGGTAGGAATATCAGCGGAATAGACAGTATATAGAAAAACCGGTGGTGGGGGAGCAGCAACGACGGGAGCAATGCGTCAGTCAAAGAAAAAGAACGGCCCCGGTCGGTTGTTAGCGGTGGCGCTCGGGCCAGAGCAAGATTGGATCCGGAGATAAGATAGCGCCGAACTGCCGCTTGGCCTTAACTTTCTCCTCTCCAGCTTATCGATACCAAATAGTATCATACACGCATTTGCCACGATCGCTGTTCAAATACAGCACGGGAAATGGCTCTGTGAAGACCTGCAATTATCTGATTATTGCGGTACATATTGCCCTCTGCCCCTCGGCAGGTGTGATCGAGTGTCGGTGCTTGTCGGACACCACCGTGCTTATCAATCAGGATCTCGCCTCAGCCCGCCATTGTACGGTGTCTTGCCGTCGCGATTATGGAAGACAACGCTGAACTAGAGTCGTTTCGACGGCAGTGGCGGGAGGAAGTCGCACGTCGGACGAAGCATACTAAGCCTAACATACCACGGCCTAAACCTACCACAAGCTCATCTTCTAGTGTACGACCGAGTCAGTTCCCGCCAACTCGCCACGAGGCATCGCTACGCAAAGAGGATGATCAGGAAGGGTCAACATCATTCGGTAGCACTGAAATCGTCCAAGGTGTCAGAAATCTAAGTATAGCCAATGATGAGGATGTTTTCCACTCACGAGAATCACGAAAGGAGCCTAAATCAGCTCTAGAGCACTTTGAACGAGCGGTTGAGAGGGAGGCCGAGGGGAAGTTGGGGGATAGTCTACAACACTACCGCAAAGCATACAAGGTGAGTGTTGCTATCCGTTCCAATCTATGTCAATCTTTACTAACCGCTATGTTATTCTCCCTTTATAGTTGGATTCAGCTGTCGACAAGACTTACCGTGACAAGCATTTTGCCTGGGCTTGGAAAAAGCCAGCGCAAGCCCCAGCTTCTGCAGCGAACATACCCTCAAAAGATCAACAAACTCAAGGTGAATCTGAAGTTTTACCGACACCTGAGCTTATTGCATCTTTTGCCCACCTGCCCATTGCTCGACCAGAGCCTCTCTTCGAGGGTGACCCCGCACCCCCATGCCCCATCGCCCACGTTCCATCGGAGGTGATAGTCGAGATTTTGAGGCATGTGGCATTGATGGACCCTGCGGCATTCTCCCGGATGTCACTGGTCTGCAAACGATTTGCATGGCATTTTGCCCACGAACAGCACATTTGGAAACGACTTTGCCAGGGCTCTGGATTTGGCTTCAAGTCTATGCATTATGCTTTTGATTGCGACCTTCAAGGTAACCCAGAACACACACTAACTCCTCATTCTCGCTATACCCCATTTCCTAGTGGCACTGCTGTGCAGGTTCCCAAACCGCTCTCGTCATGGAGTGACGTCTTTCGCATGTTCCCTCGTATTCGATTTACAGGAATCTATATTAGCACAGTCAACTATACTCGCGCCGGTGCTGCCTCATTTTACCAAAATGTAACGTGGAACTCCCCGATCCACATAGTAACGTACTTTCGATACCTACGATTTTACCCAGACGGCACAGTTATCGCCTTACTCACCACCGTGGAACCTCTGGACCTGGTTCCACATATTAGCATGGAAAACCTTTTAGAAGCTCGGGCATCTCACAAGCACCATCGACGTCAGCCTTTGGACGCAGGTAAGACTGTGGCAGGAGCTTCGGAACCAATTCCTGCGGCCGCAATGGGAGCCTTAAAAGACGCTCGCCGGGGTCGTTGGCGCTTGGCCAATCCTTTTCCAGCCTCCGAGAGTGGCGCGCAGGCAGAGACTGGCCTCCCTCCCGTACATGGTGGAAAAGACCTGTCGGCCGACGCCTTTGATCCCAGAGACGTCATTATCGAGACGGAAAGTGTAAGCAAGTCGAGCATCAATGTTCTTCACATGTCACTGCGGCCATCTGCGGCGCATAAGTCTACCAATTCGTCAAAGAACACAAAAATGATATGGAAGGGCTATTGGAGCCGCAACAAACTCACTGATGAATGGTCCGACTATGGTCTTCGCCATGACCGCGGATTCGTCTTCCGACGTGTTCGTGGATGGGGTATGAGCTAATGAATCATGGGATTTTACTCTGGCGCTTTCTAGATGGCAATGTATAGACGACGGGAAAACATCTAGCAGATTCTTGGGTACATAAATCATGACATGGGAAAAACGAAGTCTGTGACTTTATATACTAGATATATAATATATACGATGGCAATGCAAAAACCAAGATTAATGAACGATCAGATGTGAGCATGACATGTAGTTTGCGACTGCGGTACGGTTGAAATGTTACATCAATGTCTCCGTGCCAAGCGCCTTATCGATAAGCTTCACTTAAAAAATTTCGGGGATTAGGAACTCCGACAAGAGCACCTCAACAACGCGATACGACGACATGAAGAACACCTAATTAGAATAACCTATACAGTCTTTTGAGTCTTTCAGCCTTGATATTATCCTTTTTTTTTTTTTTCAATTAGACTATCTTTCTCGGCATTACCGAACTACTCGCGATGCCCGAACGGGTGAAAACGGTCTTTTTCGAAGACCCGGACGAGATACCCACCAGTGGAAAAGAAAAAGCCACAACAGCGAAAGAAGACCAAGAAACAGGACCTGTGAAAAGGAAACATCCCAGCAAAGAGGACGATAAGAAGAAGAAGAAAAAGAAACGGAAACATGGCGAGTCAACCGATAGTTCGCGACAACTACAACAAGTACCGGCAGCCGCAGAAAACAAGCCCGAGCCATCTGCGCAAAACTCTGAAAAAGAAACAAGCACGAGCAAGAACAACGTGAGCGTCGTATCCGACAGGCCGATGCACAAGAAGAAAGACCAGAAACAGAAGCCGCTGAAGGATACAAAGACCAATTTCAACTCGTTGAAGGAGAAGGCGAAAACGTTGTATGGAATTCGCAAGAACCTTCCTATCTTCCCTCATGCCGACGAGATCCGACAATACCTGCGCAAGAACGATGTGATGCTTCTTATTGGTGAGACAGGTAGCGGAAAGAGTACGCAGATTCCCCAGTTTCTGTTCAGTGAACAATGGTGTCGGCCAACGAAGGCAAAGGTGACCCAGGAGGATGGTTCGCAGAAGGAGATAGAGGTTGGCGGCTGTATCGCTATTACTCAACCCAGGCGAGTTGCTGCGATTTCGTTGGCTAGACGTGTTGCAGAGGAAATGGGTACACCGCTTGGGTCGTCGTCTCCTGCGAGTAAAGTCGGCTACTCCGTTCGTTTCGATACGTCTACATCTCCTAGTACGCGGGTTAAGTTCCTGACGGAGGGAATGCTACTGCAGGAGATGCTGCGCGACCCTTCGTTGACTAAATATAGCGCGATCGTCGTTGATGAAGTGCACGAGCGCGGTGTCAATGTTGATCTGCTGCTAGGGTTCTTAAGGAATCTAGTGTCGGGGAAGAGAGAAGGGCGTGGCGGAGTGCCGCTGAAAGTTGTGGTGATGAGTGCCACAGCGGATATGGAGAGTCTACTCGGCTTCTTCCAGGAAGGATATCGAGGTTCACAAACAGCGGTAGAAGCACAGAACAACACCAAGGCTGTGACAAACGGCTCTGAAAAGAAAGATGATGAAATCGCCGTCTGCCATATCAAGGGTCGACAGTTCCCAGTCAAAACAATCTACTCTCCTGAGCCTGTACACGATTTTGTTGATGCAGCTCTCAAAGTTATCTTCAATATCCATTACAAAGAGCCATTGCCTGGAGATATTCTAGTTTTCTTGACTGGACAGGAGACTGTGGAAGCCTTAGAGAAGTTGGTGAACGAATATGCCGTTGGAATGGATCCTGCGTTGCCGAAGATCCAAGTTCTACCATTGTTTGCTGCTCTTCCCCAGGCAGCGCAACAGCGCGTGTTTGTCCCTGCACCCCCTCGGACTCGCAAAATCATTCTCGCTACGAACATTGCTGAAACCTCGGTGACTGTCTCTGGAGTACGATTTGTAGTCGATTGTGGAAAAGCCAAAGTGAAGCAATTTCGCTCTCGTCTGGGATTGGATTCTCTTTTGGTCAAGCCTATCTCTAAATCCGCTGCTATCCAACGTAAAGGTCGTGCAGGACGAGAGGCACCTGGCCAGTGTTACCGCTTGTTTACTGAAAAAGACTACTTAGAATTGGATGAAGTCAACACTCCAGAGATTCTACGATGTGATCTGAGTCAAGCTTTGCTCAACATGAAGGCTCGTGGTGTCGACGATGTCATGGGCTTCCCCTTCCTCACACGTCCCCCCCGGGAGTCCTTGGAGAAAGCCCTTCTCCAGTTACTGAGCATTGATGCGCTCGAAGAATCTGGCAAAGTTAGTCCGATCGGCCTGCATATTGCCAAGCTTCCTCTCACTCCGACTCTCGGTCGGGTCCTACTTGCGGCATCGGAGTATGGGGAAGACTGTCTATCCGATGTGATCGACATAATATCTTGCCTCAGTGTGGAGACGATCTTCTTAAACACGACATCGGAGGAAAAGAAAGAGGAGGCGGAGAAAGCGCGGCGGGATCTGTATCGGAGAGAAGGTGATCATCTCACCATGCTCGCCACCGTGCGATCCTACGCCGCCGAGAACACCGATCGTAAGGCGTGGGCTGAAAGGCACATGGTCTCGCATCGAGCGATGCAAGCCGTAATGGTAAGACCCCGTTGACTTAAGTGGAACACGCATTCCACTAACAAAAGTTATCTGTAGGATGTCCGTAAGCAGCTTACTACTCAATGCCGTCAAGCTAAACTTCTTTCCAACCCGAATGATACTCGAGGTCCCTCTACTAACTCTATCACCCGGGAACCGTCACCCATACACATACTGCAGAGTTTCCTACGGGGTTTTGCTACCAATACCGCCCGTCTGGTGCCGGACGGTAGCTATCGGACTGTTGTCGGGAACCAAACAGTGGCGATTCACCCGTCCAGCGTGTTGTTTGGCAAGAAAGTCGAGGCTATTATGTACAACGAGTATGTGTTCACGAACCGAAGTTACGCTCGAGGAGTGAGTGCAGTGCAGATGGACTGGGTTGGAGAGGCGCTAGCTGGGCAGTAGCTCTCGTTTTCCTTTTCCATTTTCTTTTTTCTCTTTTCTGTGGGGCCATTTGTACAGTTCAGCCCACCTGATAGATTACCGGTGTAGAATTTATACCCAATGAACAGTATACTTCAGCCAGATCGTCCACTTTGTAAGCCATTGCAAAAACCAGTTTCTTGACTTTGGACCTTGTAACTTTACGTCGGAATAACCTCTGCCTTGGGGGATATACCCTTCCCCTCTTCCAATTTCCGCACATATGGATCACCCCAGGAACTAGAATGAAAGAATAAGGAAGGCAAAGAAAGCCTCTGCACAGTCGGCCAAAATCAGTTCTAGACTAATGTAGAGACGGGTTTGAAACCTGACGGTGAGCAGAAGGATCAGAGATGAAAATGAAATCGGTGTTCCTGTTATTCCCCTACTAATACAAGATAGTGATTCTTATAGTTAGAGACTATACCTAGATCGTTACTACGATATTCCTGGCATGTCCCGTATAATTGGCGTTAAGGAGTGTAAATCCATCTTAGACACCGTCAGCAGTACCTCTTCTACTTCAAGAAGGTGACTGTGGTTCCCTAAGTACTAGTAGCATGATTGTGGGCCTTTGCTGTGTAACAGATCTACTAGCTACTCACTCACATATTGCTTGGCGAGCCCTGCTATTGCTATAATAAAGATGGGACTCGGTACAGCTGACAAGAATATAACCAGCAAGCAATGAGCAGCTTAGGGGAGAAAAGTCTCTTCGGGTTAATATTATTCATGGGAAAAAGTAATTGTATTCAGTAATATCCCCGTTAATTTCCCTCTCGACACTCACTTGTACTTTGGGGATGTTAGTACATTCAGCTCAGGCATCCAAAAGCGGCGAGGGGTGAGCACTAAAGCGGAAAGAGGAGACTAGCCCCGACTACTCGTATTATGGAACTAGTTGAGTGATAGCTACCTGCTAACCTCGTCGCATTGCATCTGATCCATGGAAAGCAGAAAGGTCAAACTAGAAGGTTATGGATGGACCACCCCTGACGGGTGTCAGCCTCGAATTGGGTGGATGCAGGCCATCGCGGTGAGGATGACATGTCACTGAGATCAGCCCGTCGAGGGGAGTCGATCATATCATCTGGCGTTCAGTGGGGAGTCGGGACTGGACGTATGTAATGGAGAACAACAAATCAAGTAATTATCAATAATTGAAAAAGCTAAAAAGGGGGTAAAAAGCAGGCCAAAAGTCCTTTGACAATTCAAGTATCAGAATAAGTAGAGCCGGATATATCGCGTTCGGAAATCCAGCCACATTGCAACTTTGGGGCAATCATGACAATCATCCTTATCTCATCAGTGATAAATTAAACAGAGGGTCGATCACCCGATCCCTCAATACGGAACACATACAGTACAGAACTACTAGTCGGTATTGATGATCGTCCAGTGGTGGGATTTTCCTGCAGTGACACCATTTGGCGGTCAGATGATCCCAGTATCATACGGAACGAACAACAACTAGTCCAAAGTATCCTATTCAGTAGTATGGACTTGTATGGATGTCCATGGGAATATAAACTCATCAAGTACTCGATACTCGGGACCGGGAGCCACTTCCATGCACGACCAAAGTATATGGAACCTTTCGCCTGTTTCAAGTGGATCCCCCCTCGAACCCACTTTGCGCGCATCCTCCGGTCTCGTCTCGTCTCGTCTGATGACTTGCCGTTTTCTTGCATCATCGTCTTTTTCCTCTCTCTGGGTCTCGTTTGTTGACCACCTTGGGGGTTATATTCTTGACCCTCTCTCTCTCATGCACACTACTTAGTCGGTGAGGGGAAACAAGCAAAGACGCATGCTGATTGTTTCTTCTTTCTTGTCTTTGTCATTTCTTATTTTTTTTTTTCTGAAATTTAATCTACTTCCATACCCTCAGCCACCAGCCTCCTGGTTGGGTCGCGTCCGATCACCGCATCTTGAGCCAATCCGCTCACAAAAGGGACTCTGGGATCCGTCATTGTTATCTGTCCAATTTGTTTTTTACTTTTTTCTTATCATTTATTTTTGACGCATCTAACGCCTTCCTACTTTTTTTTTTACCCCCTTTTCTACCCTTTTTGTGTATTGCTGCTATACTCCATCACGTCGTCGAGAAACGGCATACTTCGCGGGGAACAGATCCACCGCGATCGATAAAACCCCCTCTTATCTCCTCCCTCGAACCATCTCCGATCAACGATGGCCTTACGGCTACCAGCACAAGTTCCCCGCCGTCAACATTCCTACTCAACTTCGCAACCCCCTCAGCCTCCCACCCTTGAGGTCCCTCCCAGACTGTCTCACCTGCCCGATAATGAATCCACTGAGTGGGTGCTCTTCTCTCCCTCTCAACCGTCTGCCGATGCCCGCACGCACACGACCTCCACTGAACGTACCCCACGTACGGTTGCACCCTCCCGCTTGAGCGATTTTGGCTCGTTTGGTACCCCAACCCGGTCAGCCTGGGGACCGGACAATGGCGATGCTGATGGGCCCCTCGAAGAGTCCTTGGATGAGGACGGCACCGAGTTGGACAGCCTAGATGATGGTCTACATGCCTTTCGGGCACCTTCGTTGAACGAAGACTCTTCTGCAAAATGGGACCAAGGGACACCGGCTGTCCTCCCAGCGCATGATGGACTGGGCAGTTTCGAGGCGTCTGCTCTGCCCGTGCAAGACCAGTTGTGGCAGCACGAGCAATATAATCCTCACCGGCGGCCCACCCTAGGATCCCCGCGGTACTCGAATGTCCAACGTCAGTTGGACTCAGTAGCAGATCATGAAGCTATAGATATGGACCGCGAGCGGTGGCAACGTATTGAGAAGTGGAGGATGGATCAGAGCCGAGTGCTTTTGCAGGAAATTGAAAAAGAGACACGAAAACGACGCCATAGCCGCGCCAGCAGGCTGGGTAGCCCCGTGGGCTCTCAAGCCCGAGTGGCTGGTATTGATAGTACTCTGGAGATGTCCAGGGAAGATGCGTCTCCTCCCTCGACGGTATCAGAGGGGGACGAAAACGAATCTTTATGGCGGAAGATCACCCGCAAAGTCATCCGGGATCTCATCGGAATCGACGACTCTTTGCTGTTTGCCCTTTTCGGGGAATCCCTCCCAGAGAGTGAGAGAGAGGCATCTGCTGGGACAGATGGCGCCCTTGGTATGAATGAATCCCTTAACTTGGAGCTGGACTCTGTCCCCGACGATCACGGCAATTGGCAAACCAAGCTGCTTCAGCGCATTGCACGTGAATTAGGAATACTTGTTAATCAACTTTGTGAACACCCGGGGGCCTTTACATCCTATCTCAACCTGGCGGACGAGATCCCCAACCAATATGCTGGCATGCCTCTCGGGCCATTACCAGAAGAGAGTGTCTCGCAGACTCGCTCAGTATCTGCTGCTCCAACAGCCTCACAAGAGCCTACGACGAATGCCGACTCAGTGTTGTCTCCACAGTTCTCTCCTACGCTTCGGGATCCCACCGGCCGAGAGCATGCCGCACAATGGGGCATTGAAGACGATGACTTGAATCGGAATTCTACTGCAGATTCATTATCCGAGTCCCTGCGTCTCCAGCAGGAGAAGGAGTACTGGGAACGGGAATTGGATGTGATGATGGTCTTCCGCTATCTTCGCAATCGCTTCAGTCAACGAGGCAGTAACGCCGATACCCACCAGCCCCCTGCGCGCCGACCTCCGCAAGATGCGTCTCGACGCGCCGCGATTATCCGTCAGCACCACCCGCTGGTGGCACGAGCACACTCCCGTTCTCAGGCGCAAATTCGACGTCAGTCCCAGCACTCCGCCAACCAATCTGGCCCAACGGGTATCTCATCCCCTATTTTGCGCCAGCATTTCCGCCGTCCCAGTTCTAGTTGCGGTCAGAGTGCGAAGCTGTCTGCTATCTCCAGCCGCCGAACCCTTACCGGTTCCAGCCGGAACTATTGGGACATTGGCGGCAGTGTAGACAGTGGAAGTGCCATTGCCCCAGTCGGGGCCGGGGTTGGGTCTTGGGGGGATGTCTAACCATCCGCCATCCATCCCGGACGCATCTACAACCTGCGACTCGTGGCAAGATCAAGAAGCTTCTCCAATTTAACCCCACTATATTGCATGCTGGCCATCAATGCTTCACTTAATAAGGCTGCGTCATCTTCAGACCAAGGAGTTTCTCGGGTATTATCACGATTAACGATAGCTATACCTTTCTTGTTGGGCTTAGCTGTCTGTCTCCGTGTTCTGTTTTCTTCGGTGTTTATTTTCTTTTCATTCCCATATACAAATACTGCTCTAAATCATTTTCACATATCATCCTCGGTAATGCATCGGTGTGATCTTTTATGCATTTTTCTTACATATCACGAGGGACGGCAAGGGCTTAGATATATATATATCAACCGGAACAGGTGCATGTCAACGGTGTACAGTATGTAAAGGGGCGGCTCGGTCTTGGGTTTATATATACATCGGATGGTGCATGTCTATATTCTCTCAACACAATGAATCATCTCATATTGCATCCAATCGTCCTATTCTTCTTTGAAAAGAATACGTAGAGTGCTTTCGAAAATAGCATATTCTCTAAATACATTTACACGAGTTTATCTATTCTGGGAAAAATGTATTTTGAATTCTCTCTGAGGTTAATATATATGAGGTTTGTCAGAAAGAAAGCCTTACTACACCTAACTATTGCATGTAAACGTATAAGATTTCGTAAATATATGGCTAGCCGAGTATTATATATTTTATCGAGTATTTCTACCCTTTTTTTTTTTTTTTTTCTTTTCTTGTTCCCCCTAGGCTTAAGACTGATGTTCATTCCACTTATGTTTTCTCGAACTGATTTAGTTATGATGTCACATCTAGATAATGGCGGACTACATGGGTCTAGAATCCTGGTTTGGTGTCATGTACTAGGGAAGGTGAATGGGGGTTCTGATAGGGCTATGAGCCTTGGTCGACTTATGGGTATTATAGCCAACGCGAGAGATGTACATACACTACGATCGCTAGCCAAGAGTTGTGACTAGATGCAGAGTCTACGGTAACAGCTGAGAGTACGCAAAAGGAATAAGCCCGAGGAATCCATGATTAAAATCAACTCCGCCGTGCGTGAGGACACTAAAATGACATCACAAAATAACAGAACATGTATTGGTAACCGGAGGAATATAATAAAAATTCATGTCTTTTTATGGGTCCTAACGCTAAAGCTCATTCCATTTAAGCCTGGGACTCGTAGGCGTCAGGGAAGCGCTTCATGTTGTTCTCAACGAGACCGTGGCCACGGAGGAACTGAACGTAGGCACCGTCCTGCTTGAGCTTGCCCTCCTGGCGGAGCTGGACGTACTCCTCACGACGGACGGGGGTGAAACCCCAGTTCTTGGAGACGACGATCTTTTGGCGACCAGGGAACTTGTACATGGAACGGCGGAGAGCCTCGATAGCGGCGGCACGGTTGGAGTCACGGGTGCGGACGGACAGGATGATCTGGCCGATGTTCACACGGGCAACGGTACCCTGGGGCTTACCGAAGGCACCACGCATACCGGTCTGAAGACGATCGGCACCAGCGCACGACAACATCTTGTTGATACGGATGACGTGGAAGGGGTGCACACGGATACGCATGTGGAAACCTTCCTTACCGGTGATCTTCACGAGGTACCTGGAGAAGGAAGCTTGTTAGTTTCTTCTTTCATGTTTTGCGACGACAGTCTTTATCATCGAGTCTGCGGTTCGATGAGAAGCGACATACTTGTTGGCACAGATACGGGCGGCTTCGAGAGCCTCAGAGGAAAGCTGCTCATATTCGTTGGAGACCATGTGCACACAGAGAGGGAAGTCATCGACGTTGGCCTTCTTACGTCCCAGATCGAAGATACGGATCTTGGGGTCGGGAACACCACGGTTGAACCGGGACTTGGGGTAGGGCTATGAAGCAACCATCATGTTAGTGGGAGATCCTTGATAGACCGATGATGAAAAATAAAATGTCCATCCATCCGAAACAATATCGCGATGACAATATCTCAGTTCCCTCCTATCCTTCGACGTGGGTTGACGTCTTTGCTTCCTCCCCCCCCCACAAGCGAGAAATTCCGAGCCAAAAATCCACAGAACATGAAAATATGGGAAAAATCCATCAAACCGTCAACGCACCTTGTTCTTGCAGTAGCGGTAGCAACGAGCGGGACGGCGGGCCATTTTGAGAGTTGGAGGTGACCTTGCTGCACTTCCTGCGAACGGTGAGGTTGTCGAAAAGGGTGGTGTCGAAAGGCGAAAGGGAAGGGGAGGCTTTTGGACGCAGGCACTTCCGACGTTGATTTCCAAGCAGCGTCCACTAACGAGTGGCGAAACCCTAAACCCTACCGTCTCCACCAATCAGCGACTCCCGCGACCAGACCGCATTTGTCAGACTTCGGCGACATTTCAAACGTCCAATGCAGGTTGAACGACCTATAGAGATAGAGATACAGATAGTGATGCTAAATTTGTAGGGAAGCAAATATTGATTGTGAATTATGGTCGCCATACACTTGACATTCCACTACTTTCTACCAAGTTCATCCTACATATACCAATACGAAGATGTACCAAGTCAAATGGTTAATAAGTGCAAAGTTTCTTGTCATTATCTATCACGTGCCTCATCGCTTTCCAAGGCTGTATATCGTCCAGACATAACATGAAGACATTGTCCGTGCTTTACACTTACTGGCTGGTGAGGATGTCGGAGTCACCGGCATCGAGGACAGCCATGGTGCTGGTGCGGAAGAGCTTACCGCAGGCAGTGCCGAGCTCGATCTGTAGTTACGCGCAAACGTCAGTTATCACGTACCCTCCACAGCCAAAGATTGCGGCTTCTCAGGGCGGCTCCAACACGACCTTCCTTCCAGCGGGAGGGTTGGCAGTGTCGGAGCAAGGAGACATATGCGACAAAGGGACACTTACGTTGTTACCAGAGAAGTGGTGAACAGGGGCCTTGGCGAGCATAGCGTAGTACTCGAGCTCACTCTTGCGGAGAGGAGGAGTGTTGGCAGCGATGATGACCAGCTTGGCCTTGCCGGACTTTATTTAATAGTTAGATACCCATCTCATGTCTCGAATGCCTCCAATTGTGTGCGAGAAAAGCTTACACGAAGGGTCTTGATGGTCGACTTGTAGCCAAGGGTGACTGCACCGGAGGTTAGCAACCGAGTCCAAATCCACAAAAACGATGAAAATTAGAGATTGACATACCCTTTCCAGACTTCATCACCAAAGCCAGACGGCTGTTGATGGAGTCGGCGTTCTTCTTGCTCTTGGGGGCCATCGTTACGCTGTTGAACTGAGTAGTTCCGTATGCTTTGAGAGTAGTCTGAAAAGGTGCGCTCCGGCCTTATCGTGAAGTTGAGTTTTTTTCTTTCCTTTGTGGGGTTTGGCGGTCGAGCGTTATATTCGCTCGGACTATTCCTGATCCGTTCCGCCGCCGCTGAGTCATTCCGCTCTTTGGGTCACTTTCACTACGTATTAGGTCTGTATCAGCCCCCGACGATCGAGTCCGTATCTTACGAGAAATACAGCCCTACTTTCCATGGGATGGATCGGACGTGGCTAATGTGCTGTCAGCATTCACTGCCTTCAGTCGAACCCTATTTCTTCGTAGCTTGAGGTCGATCTCCCAATGGAGGGTCGGATAGAACAGTTGGGCGTCAGTTATCATTTATTCAAACGTGGCGCAGATTCTCGCCATGAAACTCCTTATTGGGTGGCAGGTGAACTAAATTCTATTCTTGTTCCTAAGATGGACAGATGGCGAGACCCTGTACGCAGCAAGGAACTAAGGTGATTTACGGTATGACTACTGTACTATCTTTATCCCGCCATATGTTAAGTTAGGTTGTTGTTAGGTTAAGTTGTCTTCCGTTGAAAGGGTCCCTGCTGCATATGCTGTTCACTTCAGTAACCACAGTAATGGTGGTGATGCTAATAACAAATAATAGAATGGAGTATTATAGTTGGTTCTGGGTAGTTTCTCGGGCAGTCAAGTCATGCATCCGAGTAGTTCATGCATACTTACGAGCGAGTCAACCTCCAGCAAAAAGAGAGTAGGAGGAAAGTACATAGCAAATTGTTGTTGTCCCCGTTGCGCTATTTAATTAAAAGTTGAGCTAGCACTAAATTTCCTGAGCAACCAACTGAGAAAGACGTATTATCGCTGTATGAGACGTTACTTACCCACTTTAATACTGCCTTGGTGCCCGTTTTCATACGGGATCATCAAACCCCCCCTAATGTTTGTAATAAAATAAGCCCATCCACCATTTTCCCATCCCCAGAATTTCCTCGACTCTGGAAATTATCCCTAACGTGATATACCTTTTTTTTGTCTTTCCCTGATAGATATTTATACCTTCCTCTTGCTTATAAATTTCTTTCTCTCCCGTCGGTTTTGTTTTATTTCATATTTTGAACAAAGGGGGCTAGTATTTGAACCAGCCATAAATTCTACTACTACTTTACTACTTAACAAACTAGACTTCCCCCACTACGGCATAGTGTCCACTGTGTTTTGACCGCTACTACTATATACCTCCCCCGATCCTTAAATTTATCACTTAATTTCCCGGTCGTTTCATCACTGCCTTCAATTCTTTAGAATTGCCCCTTTCCGAGTTGTCTTTTCTTCTTACAATTCACTGCTCGTTGTGAGCATCGTCATTGCCGGTGACAATGTCTACAACACCCCGGAAGCCTGGAACGCCAGGCGGCTCAACCAAATCCTCGCCCGCAGAAAACCCTACGGTGAATGGCACCCCATCACGAAGCCATACCCGATCTCCTAGCACGACCACGAATGGCATATCTCGATCTCCATCCCTCCGTGGCTCGGCCCCAGTGTCGGCGCGGGCTGCGGCCAGAAAACCCGGTCGGTCCAACCTCAGCACCTCGAGTGTTCCAAAAGTGAACCGCGATCCCTCCGAGGAAGAAGCACGTGCTCAGAATGCTGCCCTCATCGAAGAGTTGAGGGAACAACTACAGAAAGCCGAGACGGCTTCTGAGCAATACCAGAAGCAGTTGGGTGTCCTGCAAATGCGACTCGATGAGGCCGTCAGTGAGCAAGGAAAACTGGAGGACCAGGCTCACGAGAGGGACAGCAAGATTGAAGCCCTCAATGGTGAGATCCGTGACCATGTCCGGCAGATACGTGACCTGGAACAGGCGCATGAGTTGGAACGGAACGCCATGCTTCAGGAGAAGGAGCAGCAGGTGAGCCGGGAGGAAGAGATGCAGGCCACCATCCAGCGTCTTAAGGATTCCCTAGCCCAGAGGGAGCGAATCAATTCTGATGCAGATAAAAATGTTTCTCGTTCTTGTATGGTTCTCCCCTCGTTCTCCACATTCGCCCGGTCTTTGTTTCTAACTTTCGCTTTTAGCCAGTTTCCGTAATCGGTCCTCGCCGGATGTTGATGGACAGTTTGCGCCCTCGTCTCAGATTGAGCGGAGCCCGTCCCGAAGCAACTCAACACTGCTTTTGCAGAAGGATAAATTGATCGAGTCCCTTCGCCTCGAACTAGCAGAATCCCAAATTAAACTCGTGGAGATGGAAAATAAAGGTGGCGGCCGTCAACGGGAATTAGAGAAAGAACTTCTGGAGGCTCGTATGGCCAACGCTCGTCTCATGGAGGACAACGAGAGCTACCAGCTACTCCTTAGTGAGAAAACGCTTAATGGTGACTTCACCAAGGGCGACTTCATGCGAGAAGCCCACCCCGAAGCTGAAGAGACTAAGGAGTCTGGTAGCGGTTTAGGTTCGCTGGCTGATGAACTTGAGTCTGTAGACGCAAGAGCGGATAACGATAATACCCGCAAGCTCGAGGCAGAGGTCAAGGCGCTGAAAGACCAGAACAAAGCCCTAACCCTATATATCGAGCGCATCATCAGCCGTCTCTTGCAACATGACGGGTTCGAGACCATTTTGGACAAGAATGAGAATGACCCTCCTAAGCGGGCAAGTACTGACAAGGAACTTCCACCAACGCCCACCGACAAGGAGGATGCTCAGTCTTTCTTGCAGAGAGCCAGATCTGTCGTGGCCGGCCCGACGCAACGACCTCAACGGTCACGTCCTTCCAGCATGATGCCACCTCCAACAAGCGCGGCCTCTGTCCCGGCGACACCTCATGAGAACCCGGAAACCGCTCCTAGCATCCCCATGAATCGTGTCCAGGCGAGAGGCCATCGCAGAACGAGGTCAGAACAGACCGATGTTGCTGCCGCTGCCGTGGTTGGTCAGATTTATCGCGGACGCAACTCTGGGGGCCCAATGAGCCCTACGCTCATGGGACCTGGATCCCGCGCAAGCGTCTTATCTGGAGCGAGCTATATGTCTGGCATGAGTGGCAGTAACCGCGCCCCATCGCTATCCAGTCAGCACGACCCTAGCCAAATGAGCAGCTCCAATAGTATTACGAGCGAGCCACCTGGCGATACGGCTTCTACGGGTGCAACCTCGAGCTCTCCTCGTTCTAGCAACGGAATGACAAACTATACTGGAGCGGTGATGACCCAAAGCAAGCTGCGTCCCTTGCGTCTTGTTAGTGAAACCAAGGCAGCAGACGACGAAGAAGCTCGGAAGAAGGCGAACCGTGGCAGTTGGATCCCCTGGTTCAACCGGCCAAACACAGGCGATTCCGCATAAGCCCGTATTATGTCTTTGGTTGTAACCATTAGTTTTTGACAATTGCTCTTCTGTCCACCTCTTATTTTCCTCCTTCATCTTATCTTTTTTTGGCGTTTGTCCCTACAAGGCCCCCTGTCTACTCCTTTTTGTGGTCTTGTTCGTTTAGAACACCCAGAATGTCGTCATGTTTCGATCCCCTTTTATCTTATGGATTTTTATGATGGCGATGAACGTGTTGTTGGATGACTTACTATATATGTTTCTTTGACATTTCATGGCCACGCCATCGGGGAATTTGTCATGTTACCCATGTTTATGCTTGGACGCTCGTTGAAACCTTTTACTGTTGGATATTTGCTGAGGATTGATTATGACGATATTCCGGCCTTGCTTATGTCTCCCTCTCCTTGATGAACATATGATTGAGATACTCTGTTTATAGAGTGATAATTTTTTGTGAAACTACTTTGTCTCTGATAGTCCTGTCTATGTCCTGATTGCGGACATGTTGTGTATATCAATTAAATAGGTACAATGTCTCAATAAGATCTACAAACAATTCTTCTCAGAAATTCTTCCAACCCCAGAAAATGCCTCACTTCAAAATTTTTTTTTTCTCCCTAAACAAAAAACCAGCTTAACACACCCATGGTTAATATAAAAGGTGTCTTTCATCCTATACTCCGGAACAACATTAATACGACCTCCGGATACCGGCCAGCGTGACAGTAAATAGATAGATAGTACCAACTACACCAGCAGCACACAAAGACCGAAAACCACACACGCAATTCAAAAAGAGCAGAAAAAAAGAATACCCCAATTAAAAATGCCCGGCTCCCTGTCCCTCTTCTCCGTCAATGCCGTCCTCCTAATGTCGGCCGACGACGGCTCTCGCATCTTCGCCAAATACTACTCTCCGCCTCACCCCCCGGCCGGTGCTGCCCCCAATTCCACCGATTACCCTGGCGCAAACCCCTATCCTACGCTCAAAGAACAGAAGGCCTTCGAACAGGGTCTCCTCGAGAAGACAAACAAGCAGAACAGCGATGTGATCCTATACGACAACCGGATCGTCGTCTTCAAGATGGAGAGCGATGTCATGCTCTACGTTGTCGGGAGTGCTGACGAGAACGAAGTCTTGCTTTATAATGTCGTGCTGTCGTTGAGGGATGCTTTGGGTATCTTGTTCAAGTATGTTATATCCTCCCCTGTTTCTTGGTCTCGGTGTTTTTCGAGATACGCCACTGGGTACGGTAGTAGGTTGGTGGAAACTAACGTTCACTTTTCTTTCGGGATAGGGGTGCTACTGACAAGCGCACGATTGTCGAGAACTACGATCTCGTTGCTTTGGCTATCGATGAAATCATTGATGATGGTATTATTCTCGAGACGGACCCTGTTCTTATCTCCTCGCGTGTGAGCCGTGCCCCTCAGGCCGATGCGCCGAATCTGAAGAGCATCGATCTGTCCGAACAAGGTCTGCTCAATGCCTGGGAGCTTGGAAAGCGGCGTTTGGCCGAAGGTTTGCGACAGATGTAGAGGGGCTTACATACCACTTGGGCGTGTTTAAATTGGGTTGATTTCTTGCATGGTTATGCATTTGATGTCTTATTTTTATCTTTCTTCGTTTAATACTATGTGGCTGGTCCCGGCGTGGTACTGTGCGTGTTGCTTATTTATTTTACGATGTTGATTGATTTATTTGATTGCCTCGTTCTTTTACTTCGGGGGAGACCTGAAGATTCTATAGAGATACCTCCTTCATGATCTGATGCGGGTTTACACTTGTCATTTGTTGGCAGGGGAGGACAATCCCTTGTCTCACGCAGTCTCGAGATATCGCAGAAGAAACAAAGCAACAAAAGATCAGACAAACAGCATTCTAGCCAGAGTAGAAAATACCGATTTCATTTATGATATTCTCCACAATTTTGTGGGCTGGGCTTATGCGGTTAATAGCACTATCGAATGGCATGGAAAAGCGATCGATAAATAGTGAAAAACTGCCCCGCATACGTCACGCTCTTTGCCTACGCTGGTCCCATTTTGGTCTTTGCAAACTTCTTGCCCATCAGCCACTTTTCGCAGTACTGGCTCATTTCCCTGGAGTCCCAAGCTAAAATTAGCACAAAAAGATGAAGCAGCGATTCTCGTCATTGGACGTTAAGGTATGCTTTGGCGGATGCTCGTGACTTTGAACGGAACTCAGTTGGACTCATACACGAACCTCTCAGGTCATCTCCCAGGAACTCGCCTCGGAGATCGTCAATTTACGAGTATCGAACATATATGATCTCTCATCGGTAGGTCCTTGATTTTCCACTAAATTTATGTATCCAACTAACGCGGGTCGCTGTCCCAAGAGGATCTTTTTGTTCAAACTTGCAAAACCAGATCATCGCAAGCAGCTCATCGTCGACTCAGGCTTCCGATGCCATGTCACCCAATATTCGCGGGCGACGGCTTCCATGCCATCGCCCTTTGTGACACGCATGCGCAAATTCCTTAGATCGCGACGTATCACTTCGGTTAAGCAGATCGGCACTGATCGCGTTATTGACATCTCATTCAGCGATGGCATGTACCACCTGTTCTTGGAATTCTTTGCGGGGGGAAACATCATTATCACCGACCGCGAACATAATATTTTGGCTCTATACCGCCAGGTCTCTGCTAGCGAGGGAGAGGAGGCGAGAGTTGGGATTCAATACACAGTGACGAACAAACAGAACTACCACGGGATCCCGGAAATTACGTTGGAGAGGATCAGGGCGACACTGGAGAAGGCGAAAGCGCTATTTGCGCATGAGGATGGAGCACCAAAAAAGTCGAAGAAGAAGAATGCGGATGTGTTAAGGAAGGCTCTCTCTCAAGGCTTCCCAGAATACCCTCCCCTTTTGCTGGACCATGCTTTTGTGAACAAGGAGGTTGATCCAACAACACCATTGGATAAGGTACTACAGGACGAAAGCCTGCTTCAGGAGGTTAACGGTGTTTTGCAAGAGGCCCAGAAGGAGAATACGAGACTTTCAACGCAAGAGAGTCACCCTGGTTACATCGTTGCGAAAGAAGATAATCGCAGTGTTTCTCAGGCGACTAGTGAGAATGAGAAGCCTTCGGAGACAGCCAACCTTCTCTACGAGGATTTCCACCCATTCAAGCCTCGGCAGTTTGAAGGGAAACCGGGCATTAGCATCCTGGAATTTCCCTCGTTGAATGCCACGGTTGACGAATATTTCTCTTCGATCGAGACCCAGAAGCTGGAATCACGGCTTACAGAGCGCGAGGAGGCAGCGAAGAGAAAGCTTGATGCAGTGAGACAAGAGCATGAGAAAAAAATCGGTGCTCTCAAAGAACAACAAGAGCTACATATTCGCAAAGCAAATGCGGTCGAGGATAATGTCTATCGAGTCCAAGAGGCCATGGATGCGGTCAATGGCTTGATCGCTCAGGGCATGGACTGGGTAGAAATCGCGCGTCTTATCGAAATGGAGCAGAGCCGAGGAAACCCTGTGGCAAGAATTATCAAACTACCCTTGAAGCTCCATGAAAACACGATCACATTGCTTCTTGGGGAAGCCGGCGACGAACAAGATGAAGGAGACGAGCTATTTTCGAGCGACGAGTCTGAGGAATCCGAGGACGAGCAGGATAATGGCGAAAGCCAACAACCTCCGTCGGTATTGACTATTGACATCGATCTGGGTATTTCTCCATGGGCGAATGCAAAGCAGTACTATGAGCAGAAGAAACAGGCTGCAGTTAAGGAACAAAGAACAGCCCAGTCATCTACCAAAGCCCTCAAAAGCCACGAAAAGAAAGTAACGGAAGACCTTAAACGGGGCATGAAGAAAGAGAAACAAACTCTCCGGCAAACCCGACAACCCTTCTGGTTTGAGAAGTTCCTTTTCTTCATCTCCTCGGAAGGTTACCTTGTCCTGGGGTAGGTTTTGTCATTACCCCGTTCGTATGGATATGTGCTAACTATTGTAGTGGTCGAGACGCTATGCAGAGCGAGATGCTCTACCGCCGCCATCTTAAGAAAGGGGATATCTTCGTGCATGCAGATTTGGAAGGAGCTAGACCCATGATTGTCAAGAATAGATCGAAAAACCCTAACGCGCCTATACCACCAAGCACTCTTTCACAGGCTGGCAATCTATGCGTTGCCACATCGAGTGCATGGGATTCCAAAGCTGTCATGTCTGCATGGTGGGCCCCGGCTAGTCAGATAACAAAAACTGCTGAAGCGGGTGGGCTTCTTCCTCTGGGAGATTTCTCGGTCAAGGGAGAGAAGAACTTCCTTGCCCCGTCGCAACTCGTTCTAGGTTTCGGGGTGACGTTCCAAATTAGCAAAGACAGCCTGAAAAACCACAAAACTCACTTTGCTGACGAGCCTGAAGCGGCCGAGTCAACCGCAGAGGGTGGTCACGAGCAAGCTGGGGAAAGCACACAGCCCCCTGAGCAACAACAGGAGACAGAAGAAGCTCCTAAACCTTCTGAAGACCCTAAAGAACAAGCTGAAGAGCAAAGCTCGGACTCGGATAACGAACAAGATAATGCCGATTCACTTCCCGCTCGAAATCCATTGCAGCGTGGACCATCGGAGTCTCCTCATACTGAGGCCGCACAGGAGGGAGAAAAGGATACCGGATCGGATGGTGAAGGTGTTGCCCATAAGCCAGAAGAGCAAACGGATGCGTTGGATGAGGAAGAAGTAGAGGCATCTTTAGCAGATGCACCAGCAGAAGATGAAAGCAATCCGGTAGGGGATGAAAGCGAACACCAGCTCTCCGCAACGGCCAGGCAATCGCCTCGGAAGGGGAAGTCTCCTGATTCGCCCGAGGCTAGCCAACAAGCCCCGGGCAAGAACTCAACTACCAAAGCAGCGAACGCAAAACAGGCACCGGCACCTACCCGAGGCAAGAAAGGGAAAGCCAAGAAAGCGGCGACCAAGTACGCTGATCAGGATGATGAAGATCGTGAACTTGCTCTCCGTTTGCTTGGGGCCAACAAAGGCAAAGCTAGTAAGGCTGCTGCGGCCGCTGAAGCTAAGGCAAATCGCGAGAAAGAAGCCGAGGCACAGAGGAAGCGTCGTCAGGCGCAGCATGAGCGTGCTGCAGAAGCCGAACGCAGACGACAGGCTTTACTTGAGGAAGGTGGTGATGATTACGACGAAGAAACGGCTGCCGCGGAGGCAGCAGACCTTGAGTGGATCCCAGCATTGATTGGGATGCCTCGTCCTGAGGACGAGATCCTTGCAGCCATTCCAGTCTGTGCTCCCTGGTCAGCATTGAGTCGATACAGATACAAGGTCAAACTGCAGCCAGGTGCGGTGAAGAAGGGCAAGGCTGTCAAGGAGATACTCGGACGATGGGTGGCTGAGACCACCACCGGAAAGGTTAAGAAGGAATATGCTGAAGAAGCTGGCATCAGTCTTGCTGATGCAGAGAAACTCCGGGCTCGGGAAGGTGATTTGATCAAGGCATGGAAAGAGACCGAGATCATCAACAGCGTTCCTGTTGGGAAGGTGCGAATTATGCTTGGAGCCGGCGGTGGTGGAGGAGGCGATGGCAAAGGAAAAGGAAAAGGTGGTGGCAGTGGTAACAAAGGCGGAAAGGGTGGAAAGAAGAAATAGACTACGATTGTGTACATAGCCTTTGGCATGTTGTATTATTAGTCTTCCATATCTATAAGTATGATACCTTGGGATGGTCAACAATGTCCACCATCCTGAATCAACGTTCGGGTCACACATGAAGATCCGCCAACGAACCCTTTTCACTCTGGACCTCCTCGAGATACTCTTCTGTATAGACCTCCATTCTCATTTCGAGAGCCAGTACTTATACTGTATCAGAGTTAAGTTGTATGTACTATTCTGTATTGCATAACTACACAGTTAAACCGCTTAGTCATACCTGCAAATCGACGTCATCGGAAAGATCAAATTTTCGGCTGGTTCAAAGACCGCAATTGGCGACAATCAGTCTTTTCGCAAAATCTCTATCTAGTTGGGTAAGTCCCTCAAGGAGGGGCGTCTGGCCTGGACGGACTCCACTTGGAATTTGCCTAACAAATAAGACTTTGTAGGGCCGAAAACGCTCTCCCCCCACCACCCAATCTATTCGCGTTTTGAGTCACCCTGCGACGCTCGTCCGTACTTCTGAAGTTTTGCCGACTATATCAGCGAAGCTGGTTTCCTTCGTCTCTCGCCTTGTCGCTGGCGGCTGTCCGCGCAGCTTTACGAGGTTTTTGAGCACTACCACCACCATGTCTTCCAAGGAGAAAACTCGGATCTTGTCGGTCCGTCGATTGAATAAAGAAGGCCCCGGGAATAAATCCCTTGCAGAGTGGTGGGATAGTGAGCGCAGCAATAAAACACCAGAAGCTGCCGCAATTGAGGAGGCTGCTCAACTCCTTCGGACGAGCAATATTCCTGTTGCGTTTCCTACAGAGACAGTGTACGGACTTGGAGCCGATGCGACACGAAGCGATGCGGTGCAAGGGATCTACAAGGCCAAGCAAAGACCATCGGACAATCCGTTAATTGTGCATATCGACTCCCTCGAAATGTTGGAACGGCTACTCAACCCGCAGGAATCGGGTTCTATGAGCGCATCCGATAGCGCAAGAAACTCAATTCCTTCCGTCTATCAATCCTTGATTGCCCGTTTCTGGCCAGGTCCTCTTACAATTCTTCTTCCGAACCCATCTGGGTCACTTCTGGCGAAGGAAGTTACTTCTAAATTGACGACGTTTGGGGCGCGCATGCCTTCTTCGCCGCTTGCACGGCTGTTGATCCATGTTGCGGACCGGCCGCTGGCGGCACCCTCGGCGAACGCATCGACCAAACCATCCCCGACAGCGGCGGAGCATGTGTATCATGATCTCCAGGGCCGTATTGAGCTAATCATTGATGGTGGCTCATGCGGTGTGGGCGTTGAGAGCACCGTGGTTGATGGTCTGTGTGACCCTCCTGCCATTCTGCGACCAGGCGGTATTGGCATTGAAGAGATCCGGGCATGTGTGGGATGGGAAAATGTACAACTTGGATACCATGATGGTACTCTTGACGTTAAGGAGATCCCTCGGGCACCGGGTATGAAATACAGACACTATTCTCCCAAGGCACGTGTGGTACTTTTCGAAGCTGGCTCCAAGGAGCTGTCTGTCACCAAGCATATCCGCAAGGACCTGGAAGATACGGCGATTGGGGCACATATGATTGGTATTGTACGAACGAAGCACTGGAAGCGGGGTCTCGGATTATTATCTGATGAAGAGATCGAGAAAACCCTCAAGCCCCTTCCGTCATTGATTGACGGACTTGCAGGATTCTCTGTTCCCATCAAGGGCAACTCCGGTCGTAGTCCCGCATTCAAGGAGGCTTTTGATTGTCATCTCGGGCCAGACGTCGAGTCCATTGCGCGCGGGCTATTTGCAGCGCTGCGGGCCATGGATGAAATGGAGGTGGATGTCATCTATGTAGAGGGGATCTCGGATCAGCAAGGCGATCGCGCAGCTGCCGTCATGAATCGTCTCCGTAAAGCTGCGGGGGCAGAATTGCGAGTCTAAATGTATAGACTTCATGCTAAAAGGGTAGACGATGCTCTGGTTACATATTTTTTCCCCTTCTTCCTGGTACCTGGTTATAGATAGAGCTTACTATTGCGTTTATAATTCAACTACGAATTGAGATGATCCTCACAAAAATGACAACAGATTATACCTGAGACAGAAAAGCTTCCATTTACGGATATAAACTCTCCATAATCATGTTATTTGTCTCCGCCCTCCGGCGCTCAGAAATCGGAGGTCTCCGACCCCTCATGACCGTCTACGATTATAGTACAGAATACTAGGGTTTGAGTTGGCTTATCAGATTGCGCCTTATCTGGACTGAAGATTTGGTGGAAGTCATGTGGGTCTCAGTTGATTAGAAGATATTGAATTTAAATTTCACAGTTTTGAAATCATCTGTACCTACCATGTATTTAAAATTTCAGACTGTTTTTGTGGCCCAATATTATCACAGCATGACCCGACATTGATTTCTGATTAGTTCAACGAGCCCACTTGACTGATATATTACTTGAAATTTGAAACAAGCAGGAGACAGAAATTAAGATTCTTTGTATGCATGATCCATAATAATGAATGAATGTAGTTGACTAAAAACTTCAGATCGGCACATCGAAGGTCACAAGCCTCAACATTGTTTCTCTTTATACACTCTCTTTTATAAGACACTCTTTCTATACATAAACACTTTATAAGATTTGATACCCTTCTGGATCACTGTTGTTATACTATCTTCTGGATTAAACCTAGTACAGTCTCAGGACAAGACAATGTGCAAATCCGATCTCCACGACTTCCTGCACGGTCTCCCCAAATGCGAGCACCACGTCCATTTAGAAGGCTGTCTAGCCCCGGACTTAATCTTCGAACTAGCTAAGAGAAACAACGTCTCACTCCCTGACGAACCAGCCTACGAGTCCATAGAAACTCTCAGCCACCGCTACGGCCATTTCACATCTCTCGACGACTTCCTCCGCTTTTACTTCATCGGCATGTCAGTGCTGCACCATGAATCCGACTTCGCAGACCTCGCCTGGGCCTACTTCCAAAAAGCCCACGCCGACGGCGTCCACCACGCAGAAGTCTTCTTCGACCCGCAAGTCCACCGAGACCGGGGAATCCCCTACGAGACCATCGTCTCAGGCTTCGTGGCCGGCTGCCAGCGTGCCGAGAGGGAATTAGGTCTAACGACCCGTCTCATCCTATGCTTCGTGCGCCATCTCCCCGTCGACAACGCCGCACGAGTGTACCAGGAAGCCCTGGATCAGCAACACTTCGACAACGAGGTCGTCCATGGACTAGGCTGGTCGTCGACGGAAGTCGGCCCCCCCAAGGACATGTTCCGGGAGCTGTACTCGTCGGCCTCGGCGAAGGGCATCAGGCTGACGGCCCATGCCGGCGAGGAGGGCGATCCGTCGTATATCAGTGCTGCGCTGGAGCTGGGTGCCCAGCGTATCGACCATGGTATTCGGCTTGTGGAGGATCCTGTGCTTATGGAGAAGGTGGTGAGGGATCAGGTTATGTTGACTGTTTGTCCGATTTCGAATCTGCAGTTGCGTTGTGTCGAGTCTATAGCGCATGTTCCTATTCGCGAGTTCTTGGATGCGGGTGTTATGTTCTCTATTAATAGTGATGATCCGGCATACTTTGGGGGTTATATTCTGGATAATTATTGTGCTGTGCAGGAGGCGTTTCAGCTGACGGTGGACGAGTGGAGGGTTATTGCTGAGAATAGTATTAGGGGGAGCTGGATTGGGGAGGAGAGGAAGACTGAGCTCTTGAAGCGTATTGATGATCATGTGCAGAGACATATTGCTGCTGTTTGAGCGGGTAGCTTTTCCTCACCGATGTACGATAATTAACTCGAGCAATGAACATCTCCATTCTAAATATATATACCGTCTTCCCCGGACAAGCGGCAGGAGAACTTCGACAAGAAGCTTAAGGAGGATTCAGGTCTGGGGTGGGTTCTTCACACTTATCCTCAGTAGAGGTTTTGTGGGGTTGTTTTCAATGATGGTAACAGGGGACACCTGCTGCTCTGCTAAAAACCAGGAATAAACTGGACGTTAGCTTCCCACTGTTGTGCTTAGGTCTAGTATTAGGGCTCGTAATTTTTGAGATTGCATGCTTATGGTTTGGGCATGTCGCAGGATTGAGTTGAGTACTGTACTATTTTCTCTACTTTCGTCATTAGTATACTGAGAGGTATTTGGGTTTTGTAGATTATTGGTAACCGCTATACTTTATTCTCCTTTCTGCCATTATGTAGCAGTATGGGTAGATGCAAAATAGAGATTATTTAGATGATTATGCTGCAATTGGGGGGAAGGAAGGATAAGAGGACTTTGAAGTTCCAGTTACTACAGTAAGGATACTCTATGCTTCTAGTAGGGCTTAAATTTCACATACATTCACCTCATGCCCAAAGAACTGCCCAACTTATATATTTCCGTGTAGGGTTCCGTTAAGGTTCGAAGTGTATCCTTAATTGCAAACATAACCAACGTAACTGATTAATGTAAAGAAAATAAAGCACAATTTTTGAAGGAAATATAGGATTAGAAGACCCGATAGGGGAATTCATGGACTCCTCAACTTTGTAGAATATTGCACTTCCTCATAGTTCTGATGATGTTCTACGCAAAGATTACTAACATACGACACCACTTGCCAAGAAGAAGGACGAATAAAGACAGGAATAACCAACAAAATAGGGTACATTTTATTTCATTGGTAAAATTGTCCAGATCATAGGCAAATGCGCCCAACCATCCCCTCCACTCTCACCCTGATAGGTTGCAGAGCCGTCTTGCGACCCCTACACAATTCCATCCGTTGCGGGTTCCGTCAGCCACCAGCTACTATTATTCTCCATTTCCCCCCACGCTCTACAACCGCCGCAAAAACCAACAACTACATTTATCAAGGAAGAACCATGTCCTCAGACTCCGCCTCAGCCTCAGGCCGGTACAAACTCGTTTTCTTCGTCCCGCATTCCCACCTTGAAGCGTGTAAAGAGGCCATCTTCGCGACCGGAGCAGGGACCTTCCCGGGCGGCAAATACACCAAATGCTGCTTCCAGATGCCAGGTCAAGGTCAATTCCTACCGTCTGATGAAGCTAATCCCGCGATCGGAGCTGCAGGAGCGTTGGAAATGGTGGAGGAGATGAAGGTCGAAGTGATGTGTTTCGGTCGGAGCATCATGTTGCAGGCGGTGGATGCGCTGATTAAGGCGCATCCTTATGAGGAGGTCGCATATGAGGTCTATAAGCTCGAGGATGTGTGAAAGAGTCGCCGTCACTATAGGATTAGTGCCTAGGGGAGAGGGAAGTTGATGGCTATTAATGATGACGATGTTATATGCATGACGAGCGTTTATAGTTGTGGTTGATTGGAATGTCAACGGAGACAGACTGAGTTAGCAGCCCATTAGTACCAATGGGTGTCTTGGTGGTAATTCAGATTAATTTTGAAATCATTTCCATGTAGTAGTAGTTGAATTTGATATGGATAGAACGACCCTCTCTCAATTGGGGGTTAGTAATGAATGATTGGCACACAAGGCGGGAGTAATCTGTCGCCGCTGATTGGCCGACCGCAGCTCCCGCAAAACGCCTCTTCGACTCCAAATCGATCGTCCACCTTCAATAATCAATCCATCAGTGTTGCTCCCCTCCTCCCCCGTCCACTCATATCCCCTCTCTCCCGCCAGCAATGGCTTCCAAATTCTTCCCCGCCGTCCCTCGGGTCGGTCGTCAGTTCTTCCAGCGCGCCCCCAAGACTCAATGCAGACCGTTCTCAGCTGGTCCGCAACGTTGCAGCGACTCCCTCTCCGTGGTATGTTCACGTTATCTTTGCGATAGTACATTGAAAAATATTGGCTGTCACAACCTCCTCGGATACATTACCTTTCCTCAATTGGTGTTAAGATGAGGGGGGGAGATTCCAAGAACGTGTCTTTGCTGACCGATAGGCTCCCAGCACCGCAACAAGCCTACCAACAACCCGAGCATCCCGTTCACGTTCAACGAGCAGAACCAACGATTGATCGATGAGATCCTCAAGCGCTATCCCCCCCAGTACAAGAAGGCAGCCGTCATGCCTCTCCTGGATCTGGGCCAGCGTCAGCACGGCTTCACAAGCATTAGCGTCATGAACGAGGTCGCCCGCCTCCTGGAGATGCCCCCCATGCGTGTCTACGAAGTCGCTACTTTCTATACCATGTACAACCGTGAGCCTGTTGGCAAATACTTTGTTCAGCTTTGCACAACGGTATGAGAACCATTGTCTTTTACAGGTTTGGCGTAAGAAGTGTACATCTGCTGACGTGATTGGGACCAGACGCCATGCCAGCTTGGAGGCTGCGGTAGCACCAAGATCCTTGAAGCTATCGAGGAACACCTCGGCATCACCGCCGGACACACCACCGAGGATGGACTTTTCACCTTGCTCGAGGTCGAGTGCCTGGGCGCCTGTGTCAACGCCCCTATGGTCCAGATTAACGACGACTACTACGAGGACCTTACTCCCGAGTCCATGAAGACTCTCCTCACCGCACTCAAGGAGTCCGCGACCGCCACTGACGCCGGAAAGACCGTCAAAGTTCCTGCGCCTGGCCCAATGAGTGGAAGAGACACCTGTGAGAACAGCGCCGGACTGACAAACCTGAAGAACCCTGTGTGGGATCCGGAGACGATGATGAGAAAGGACGGTGCCTTGGACCAGCCTCAGCAGCAATAAATATATGACAAACCATAATTTCATCTCAAGAAGCTCATTCTGACTCGATGCGTTGGAGTCTGGATTATCCTTTCGCGTTTCTAGTTTATTTTCCCTGGCCGGTAGACACGGGACAGGACCGCCAGATGTCGATTATGTACAGTATGCTTGTTTGAAACTTTTTTCTTCGAAAAAGTCAAACATTGATGGTAGAGATTACCATAGAAGTTCTATTTAGCAGTACCCAATGCAGTTTTCGTTTTTCGAATCGCTGATATCCCCCCTTCAAGGCATGCTTGCAATAACTAGCGTGGTACGCCAATTGCCGAAATAGATCCAGGGAACAGTACATGATACGTGTAATGGACGTAAAATTAAGCATCTGGATCCCCAACCCTAACAAATCAAACAAGTACACGCCCTCCCCAAGATTGTCAACCATACCAGCAAACATACCACCCACCGGCACAACTGAGCAAACAGTAACCAGACCCACGGGTGAATTCGGATAGGGTTAGAGTCCAGACCGGGTTCTACATGCCTCAGAATCCTGGTTTCTGCAGGTTACAGAATAGAGTATATGGGATCCTGCAGCAATTGCGCACACCAACCTATATTTTGTCAATCTCTTGATGATCGTCCTGTACGGTGTAATGTGAAGACTTATATCACGCTATGTTATACATACCATGCCCCACAAGTCCGCCGAGACAGCGTAGAACATCCAGGGAGCGTTGAGATTCCAAAGTCAGACTGGAGAGCTACTCTGAGCAAACTGATCTATTGCAATGTGTTCAACGATTGTGGCGGCGAATCTGTTGGAATGTGTGGGAGGGGTAAGATTATACAGTTCTTGAAAAAGCGGTAACCTTCGAAGGCATCAATCAATAAAACCATAGCTATGCATAACAATGGTCTGACATGGTGTGGTTTAATGGGGATAAATGTTGCGAGTGCAAGGATTGCTTTTATAAAAGAGCAGACCGTGTCTCCTGTTTGTACACTTGGTATATGAAACAGAAATCAAGCGCATTTCTCCCTAATCTCAACTTCTAATACAAGAATTTCTTCCTCCAATGGCAACAAGAATCACCCTCAAGGCCTTCCCAGGCTATCCAGAAGAGCTAACGCTCTCCACAGCCGCAGAGATACCAGAAAGCGCTAAAAAGGCGCAAAACCGCTCCAAGCATGTCCTTGTCATTGGAGGTGGCGTTAGCGGTCTGATGACGGCTTGGATTCTCCTTGACAAGGGCTACCGCGTCACTATCGTGTCTAAGGAATGGGTAAGTCTTACGAAGCCGTTGACTTCGCAGATTGCTGGGGCTTTGTGGGAGTACCCGCCTGGTGGTTGTGGGGTCACTGAGATTGAGACTCCATTGTTTGGGTACTCGACTCTGGAGCAGTATCGGGAGTGGGCTATGCAGAGTTTTGAGTTCTATCGGTTGATGGCCGACCGAGATGAGCTTATTGGTAATGGTCTGGAACAGGCTGCTGGGGCTGGGACGTTTGGTGCGAAGATGAAGACCTTGTTTCAGTTCTTTCAACAGCCAATTGAGGAAGAGTCCCGTGGCTGTCGCTGCGATGACAGACATTATGACAAATATTTTGAGATGAAGACATTGGATGAGGGCGTGGATTCGCCTTTCAGGGATCAGTTGAAAGTTAATTATCATTGCATGGCTGATGCTAATGGAGGCAAGAACGTCAACTCACAAGTGGTAGCAGACTTAGTGGACCCGAAGAAGCAGTTTAATGTTGCTTGCGCATATCAGCATGCAGCTCCCATGATTGATACTGATGTGGCCATGACGTTTCTGATGAGACTTGTTCAAAGCAAAGAGGCGGTTCTAGAGACTAGAGAAATTGTTGGTGATCTTCATCTCCATGAGCAAGAGCTACTGAGCGAATACCACGCCGATATAATCGTCAATGCAAGCGGCATAGGAGCTCGCGAGCTTGTAACCGATACTCAGATATTCCCCGTTCGCGGAGTAGTCAAGAAGATCAAGAGACCTGAGGGATACCCAGCGGATCATGCGTTCCTTCTTCCGGCTCAGATGAATCATGATGGCTCAGTGAGCAAAACAGTCTTCATTGCTCCTCGTAACGACGATACGCTTGTTATCGGCTCAATCACTCAACGCAACAACTGGCAGCTAAATCTCTCCCTTGACTCCCCTGAAGTCAAGACGATGTGGGAACGGGCGACTGAGTTTCTGCCGGTCCTCAAGGATGCAGACAATGAGACACGGTCTCTTGCACAGGGCTTGCGGCCCTTCTCCCATTTGAATGTCAGAGTCTCCGCTGATAGTCGAGCTAATACATGCCGGATCCTTCATAACTATGGTCATGGTGGATCGGGATGGACTCTTGCCGTTGGTTGTGCGAGGACTTGTGTACGCTTGGTTGAGGAGATTCTGGACACAGACAGGTCAGCAAATGCAGAAGTATGTAGGTTATAAGAGATTGGGAAAGATATACATACATCCATAATACCCGAGTGTGATCTGCCAATGGATGATGATGACTCGTTTAAATAATAGGGGATTCTATATAAACCTTCTTATTTCTATTTTTCAATGGTTCGCATACAGTCGTTTAATCTAATGGTTATAATGGTTTTATATCCGCTTTACTTCCCTATATTCGTGCATGGGTGAACTGCTGCTGATAATATCGGGACCTCAGTCACCGGCAACCTCTTGGGGTCTCATTTACCAATTCACCAACTTACCAACTCAACAAGCCAACAACTGCTCTGACCGCACAAGTCGAACAGGTTTCTTTCAGAACCAAATACATATCTTCACGCAAAAACACAGCATAAGAATCACGTGTATCCTAAGTGAGATTTGTCCCACGCATTAGAATGCGTTGTCTACCACAACAGACATCGCCTCTCCTTTCACCATCTCCCACTCCTCAACCTCCTCCCTCGCAGCAAGGGTGGCCTTTCCATCCCTCTCGACCAGCACTTTTCCATGACGGTCTTGGAAGAGGGTAGTGTCGATGGTCATCCTTGCTAACAGATGATATATGTAGACGTGCTTGGTCTGTCCATATCGTCTGGCTCGTCCGATAGCTTGAGTCATCGACGAGTCATAGTCGTACTGGGTCTGAGAAAACATAGGGGAGAGAAATATAACATGGTTTGCACATTGAAGGTTTCTATTCTCCGTTAGTAGAGGCTGAGGCGCAAGTTGACAGGCAACTCACAATCCAGCGGCCATCTCGCTCCCCAAGTTTAGAATTAACACCTTGTTCTCACCAAAGCCACCAGCTTCCTGAAAGTGCTGGACCTTCTGTGCTGCCTTGCGGTCAGTTGCTATGATTGCAGTGTACTTGATCTTTGCCAGTTCCAAGACTTTGGATGCGACGTCTATAAGCTCCGGGAACTGTATGAAGAGGAGAACTCGATCATCTGTGGGCACTGCCTGGATGATTTCGATCATCTTATCCAGTTTACTGCCGCCGTATTTTGCACTTCTGTCCTTCTCATCACGCTTAAGAGTAGACGCATCCAAAACGTTGAATTCCTTTCCGGAGCCCCGGCAGCCTTCAACATTGCACTCTTCTTTCTGAACTGTCTTTAGAGTGCATTGTAAGCATAGGGCATGACCGCATGAGCCAAGTATGTTGATGTGATTTGCTGTTTTTGGTGTTGTATGACAAGAACTGCATTCAGCGATCTCTGATCCAGTCTGAACAAGGTGTACTGTCTTCAAAAACCTGAGCGCTCTTTCCCGTGCAACCCATTCAAGGATCAGCTTTCGAAGACCACTCGTAACTGTTCGCAGAATGAGCTTGAACTCGTTGATGTGATTTGGCTTGACTGGAAGTTCAGGTGCTCCTTCTTTCTTTCCACCTTGTTTGGTCTTTGTACCCCTTACACTACGCTTTGAGGCTCTTCCAGTAGCCTGTTTGCCATTGTTTGTTAACTCCAAGTTTCCATTCAAAACTGGTGAAGTACCACCAGAGCTTACCTCTTCACCATCATCGGCATCGTCCTCTTTCACTCCAGTCTCATCCCGCATTTCTGTATCAAATGAGTCCTCAGCGACTTGTGCTGGATCAGAAAAGAATAGTTTCCAGTCATCTGTCTGTGAAGTGAGTATTGCACCCTTAATGAGTGGGTATAGCTTCCTCGTCACAGTCTTGTCACCAAAGTCGTGCGCCTTTATGCTCTCAATAAACTCGTGGAACTTTTCATGTCTTAAGTCACAAGCACAGTATACCCACGCAGCTTGCCTGAACTTCTTCATGAGTTCTTCCTTGAGGCCCTCGAGCTGTTTCAATCGAGTCTCAATCAGCGAACTGCAGGTGAGCGCTTCAGGTACACCGTTGTGCCAGCGACCCTGCAAAGCGAGAGATGAACACCGTTTGAGAAGGGCTTCATCACTTGTTTTGCTGCTTCCAATTACTTCATCCAGTCTATCTTCCTGGTCACTCCTGATACCCTTTCTGCCACCTCGGCGGCCCAAACGGTTATATGTCATCAACTGCTTGCATAACTCAAGATATATCGCTGTCTCAGCAGGTGATTGCTGAATGAGAATTATGTGTTCTGATGATGGAATCTCATCAATCTCTGCGACATTTTTGCGAGTGAACTCGTCCAGGAATCTTTGTGCAATAATGTGTCGTCGACGATGCCATTCCTCACTTCGCGGGGCCTGCAGCGCCTGGAAAGATTCTGCTTCTGATCGCTGCTTGCGGATCACCTTAAGTCGTGCGTTTTGTGACTGAAGGTCGTCATCATCAATACCGAGATGTATGCCCAGGAAGGGTGCACTCGTATTCACATCAGCAAAGTCGTTCAGCGGCGGTGTGCTAGATAGAACCCATTTTGAACGAGCCTGAAGCTTGAGAAGAGGCACCAGTCGTTCGGGGTTTGCAAAAGTGAACTCATCAATAACAAGCCGATTGAATGAGAATGCATGGAGAAGAGGAAGCTTGACTGTCGTATAATTTTGTTGAGCGGTATTATTTATGCCGAACTCCTTTCTATCATCCCAGACTTTGGCCGTCTTGACGGGTGCACGCTTGCGCGTCACAGCTTGGCCCACCTTACCAGAACCTTGTGCTTTCCCAGAGCGTGATGCCACCGGGGATACCTCATCCTCGTTCTCTTCTGAATCACTTTCGTCATCTTTTTCCATTTTTAAGGTCGTTGGAGCGGTTGTCCTAGGTTGGAGTTTGAGGAGCTTGTCGACCCTGGCCCGAATTACTTCAGGATCCTCTTCTTCGCTAGAATCTGACAGCCCATCCTCACTTGATGAATCGGCATGTTGAGTCCCTGCTTCGGTGGCAGGATCATGGCCTTGGAGAACGTCTGCATACTGGCCTGCCTTAAGCCGCTTTGACGGGATATATATGGAATTGGATTCGTTGTCATTGACTTCCTGGCGTCTGGCCTGAATTGACTCAAGCACTGCTCTGGGGCCTAGGTCCACTAGGAGCTGGATCTGTTCCATCATCACCGCATGCGCTTTAACAAACCAATCGTCGAAATTGCGGCCTGCCTTTGGCGGGACTCGCGGCATGCCGGTAAACTGCTGCAACTTCTCATAATGATTCTGGCTGTTAAAGACAGCCCAAGAAGCCAAAACAATATCTGCCTGCTGTATATCTCGAACAGTTTTTCTTCCCAATGCCGCTAGTCCGTCGATCACCAACACACGGTACGTACCTTTGAGGAACTTCGTGATCTCGGACTGCCACTGTTTGATCATGATCTTGGGGACGACGATGAGAGTGGCATTTGTGGGTATGAAGCCGTCGATGGGCTCTGGCTCAGTCTGCTGACTGTATTGAGTATCGATCAGTCCGAGAGTGATAGCTGTTTTTCCATACCCTACGTCGTCCGCTAGGACACCGCCCCGGACGGTTTTCTCCACGCATACTTTGCCCTCCGCGCGCCACATCAGCATAGGAAGAAAGGCCTCCTCTACCTCTTCTTCAATGAAAGACTTAATGTCAACGCTTTCACGGTGGATCATCCACGAGAGGGAGCGCAGCTGCTCAGGCCGCAGATCGAGTTGGAAGTTAGGCGGTTGAGCGCTCTGAGAATCACTTCTGTTACTGACGAGACTGAAATCGGGGGACACGAGATTTCTCGAATCATAATAGTTGGGCACGATGCGCCAGAAGAAAGAAGCATTGTTAGAGACATTCGTGTTCAGTAACTTGCCATAGGCTTGATGCAACAGAGTCTGAATGTTGAGCGTGACGCGCATGTGTCCCATATCCTCCTCGTCCACTTGACGGAATACCAGAAAGGGTGGAGGTCTGAACTTGGTCTGCCGTTCGTATAGAGCTGCATCGTGTGGATCCTCGTATGCCTTGATTTGTCCTCGAGTGTTGCGGCCCCAAATGATCCGGGGCTTCACTGGTACACATACCCCACATACAGGGCTACCTGACTTTTCCGACAATTTGCCTTCGTTGACAGAGATCCAATTCTGAAACGCAGAAAAGCCAACTGCCTTTTGAAGCAACCAAGTAATATCTCCAAGCAGAGCTGGTGATTCCACAGGATTAGCCACTTCCCATGGCCCCTTTCTCCAGAAAGAATCGATAGCTGTGGCCTGTGTTTCAAAAGAGAGAAGAGTGATATTCGCACTACGACATTCCCGATTACTGAGCATCATTGAAGTAAGAGGCTTCAGATTTGAGCAGATGATGGGAGAATCCGGAATATAGCAGGCCAACGTGATCGCGTGCAGCTTGATGGATTTACGATAGTACACGTTGACATACTCCGGCTCCATACCCAGATTTGAAGACCTCCACTTGTGAGAGACTTCCGCGATAGTCGAACGAGATGCATATCCAAGAGTTCGTTTGTGTTCTAAAGAAAAGATAAAAGAGTCGTATATTGGCTCATCGAGCTTCGAGGGATCCAAAAAGAAGTATACTGCAGGGGAGTTCCCAACGGCCGGTTTCTTATGCAAGCAGCTACTCGCTGTTCCGCAGTGAGGAAGAAGATCGTATTTCCCTCGAACATCTATTCCAAAACTTTCGATATCATCATCAGAGCCATCGACCATGATTTGTGTCCAAACTTTGGATTCAGGGAAGCCTTTAATTTGAATGCCACATTTGGCTTCGAAAGATTCGACGCGATGATCATTTCCTAAAAACGTGAGCGCACACTTTGAACTGATAGGGGAGAGGATCTCCCATTCGCCTTCCAGAAGAGAGTCGGACTTAGGAGTCATGCGTGCAATTGGTTTCGAGAAGATTTCGCGAATGAGACAGACGACAGGTTCATCCTCTGAGGGTTTTGCATGGAGCGACCAACACGACCAAGTCTCACTGACAACAAGACTTATAAATCCATGCTTACCCATATAGGTGACTGTCCACACTGAGCTCCTTTTGATGTCGACACAACGGAACTCGTCGCTCATTAGTAGAGCTACAGCATCTAAGACTTTCTTCCAGACACTAGGGGGACAATCGATCGATATATCCGCCTTGAAGACGTCATAATGGCCTGGGAAAATGCCG